CAACTCACTGGGGGCACTGACAGGAAATGGTGTAATTTCTTCCAATAATTCTCAAAGATATTTATATCAGTTCCCATTTTTTCCTCTGAGCCATAGTTTCTTTGATAACATCTTGCCTGCCTCCATAATTTTCAGCTACTTTTAGTAATTAGAACAGACTTGTCTCAGTATTTAACACTCTGCTCTGTTTATTTATGCAGATTTGAGATACTACCTGGTGTCATTTCCTTTCAGGTTGAATAATTTTCTTTGTTATTTCTTATAGGGCAAGTCTAATAGGACTAGCCACAACTTCTCTCCATCACCGTATACCTGGGAATGTCTCTATCTAGCCTTCATTTTTGAAGAATAGTTTTGCTGGAAATAGAATTCTTGGTTGACAGTTATTTTTTCTCCTTCAGCATTTTACATGTGTTATCCCACTGCCTTCTTCCTTCAGTGTTTCTGATATGAAGTCAGCTGTTATTCTTGTTCTCCTATTTTTGATGAGTCATTTTTTCTTACAGGTTTTAAGATTTTCTTTGTCTTTCAACAGCTTGACTGTTATGTGCCAGGTTTAATGTTTTTGTGTTTGTCCTATTTGAAGACAAGTGAGCTTCCTAGATGTACATATTAATGTTTTCATCAAACTTGGAAAGTTTTTGGCCTTTTTTTCCTGAAATATACCCCCTCCTCCTGATTCTTCTCTCCTTCTGAAATTACCATTACATACATGTTGGTATATTTGATGATGTCACACAGATCTCTGAGAATCACATCATTTTTTATTCTTTTTTCTTTATATGGATTGGATACATTCTATTGATCTATCTTCAAGTTTTCTGATTCTTTCTTTTGCCCACTCAAATTTGCATTGAGCTCCTCTGGTAAAATTTTTATTTACTTACTGTACTTTTCAACTTTATAATTCCATTGATTTTTAAAATAATCCCTATCTCTTTACTGATATTCCCTATTTTATGAAGAACCGTTGTAATTTTTTTGTTTTTATTTTTGGTTTGTTAGAGCCTGGGTCTGACTATGTTTCCTAGGCTGGTCTTAAACTCCTGAGCTCAAGCAATCCTCCTGCCTCAGCTTCCCAAAGTTCTGGGATTATAGGTGTGAGCTGCCACACCTGGCTGTCATATTTTCACTTAGTTCTTTGAACATTCTTTTTCTTTCTTTTTTTTTAATAGAGTAGATGCGCTGCGTGACTTGATCTCATGTTTGAGTAAGTTTCTTGAAGTCCTTATATGCTAAGTCTAACATCTCACAACATTTATATTGATTTTCACCTCCTCTTCTGTTCATTTGCATGTCTGCTTTTTTTTTAAATTGAAAACTGGACAATTTAGATAATACAGTGTAGCAACACTTGTGTTTTAATGTGCCCCTCAGAGGGTGTTTTTGTTGTTTTTCTTAGTTTATACATTCGTTTTGTGACTTGCCTGGACTAATTCTGCAGGTTCTCTCCCATAGTGTGTTGACATTGATGTTTCTGCTCAGTTTTTTTTCCCCTCTTTTATGTTTATTTCTAAGGCTGGTTTTCTAAGGTTTTCACCAAGGTCAATGATGCTTAGCATTTAATCAATGATTGATCAAAGGTGGTAATTAGACACTTCAAGTCAGTAAGACTTCTACCCTTTCTTGATGGACCTGTGTCATCTAAATTGGTTGAAGAACATTCAAAATTCAGGCAATTTACAAGACTGCTCTGGCTTTTGTTTTCCTGAGTTTTCTTGTGTCTCCTCTGCATCTCTACAAGGCTTCCCTGGCTTTTGTTTTCCTGTGTCTCCTCTGCCTCTGTGCAAAGTGCCAGGGTTGAGTAGATGCCTGGGCTTTTGTCAGACTCCTGAACTGACACAGCCTTCCAGACCACAAGTGCATCCCAAAGCCCTATCTGATTCCCTAGATCTCACTGCTAAACTTCTAGCAGGCTTTCTAATCAGTTGTTTGCTCATCCAATCTTGCAGCCCAGGTAACTGTGATGTTGGCATTCCCAATCAATCTTTCTCCTTGGCCACGGGGTTTTTTCTGGCACCATTCCTCAAAAAGTCAGCCTCCTCTGGCAGCAAAGCCACTGGTTTTTACATACACTCAACCCTGCCAGAACTATTCCCACGGAACTGGAGGAGAGGGACTGGGCATTTCCCCATGCTAACGTGTCAGACTCTCACTGCTGTTACCTGAGGTTTAACGGTTTTTCTTGCAAAAAAAAATGCTTTTTAATTTGTGTTATATCAATGGTAGATTTCCAGGAATTTGCAATGGTTATTTTCCACAATTTTGTCCAATTTCATCATTTTTTGGAGGGGAGAGAATTTGTTGAACTCCTGACTCTGCCATTCCAGAAGTCACAATATAGGCTCATTTGTTTAAAACTTCATCCTTAAGCTCTATTCAAAGTTCTTCTCCCTGATCTCTAGAGCAGACTAGCTTGGCTGCACTAGAGCACTAGAGGATTCCTTCTCCCCATTTGTTCTCTATGTGTTAGCTCCTCTGGTGGCATCAGGGCAGGGAGAAGGTGGGAAGAAAAGGGAAAAATTTCTGCCCCACTGGGCAAGGTTGTAGCCTCTCTCTGTTGTGCTGTTTCTGTGGTTAATTCACCCCAGCCCCAATAATGTATGCATGACAGGCATCTATATGCTGACCCTCTTAGGGGTATATGTGGGGATTCTTGAAACACTCTTTTTGGGGACCTGCCCATTGCCATTTTATGGAATATCTGAAATAAGTCTAAAGTCCAAATTCAATAATTCAAAAACTTAGGACCCACTGTGTGCACAGGATCAGGCCCTAATAACAAGCCTACAACATGGTCCCTAGTCTTCATCTTCAAGTTGAGGAAAGTAAGCCTTGAACAGGTTAAGGGCTGGGCACAGCCTGTAATCTCAGCACTTTGGGAGGCTGTGGCAGGCAGATCGCCTGAGGTCAGGAGTTCAAGACCAGCCTAGTCAACATGGTGAAACCCCATCTCTACTAAAAATACAAAAAATTAGCCGGGTGTGGTGGTGGGCGCCTGTAGTTCCAGCTATGGGGAGGCTGAGGCAGGAGAAACACTTGAACCTGGAAGGCAGAGGTTGCAGTCAGCCAAGATTGCGCCACTGCACTCCAGGCTAGGCAACAGAGCAAGACTGTTTCAAAAAAAAACAAAACAAAAAATCAGGTTAAGTAATTTGTCTAAGATCATCAGTCCTAATAAGGAGTCCACATTACTCCAAAGCCTATGCCCCTTAGACTCAGTTTTATTGTCTGTAAATTAAATATTTGGAGTAATTTCAGCTCCTGCTTTTCTTTCTCTCAGGTCAGGTTTAGTCCAATACAGTGGAAGACTGGTTACCACTCAACTTCTTTCATTCTCATCCCCCTTCAACAGTTAAAACATTGTTTCTGGATTCACACTGACCTAAGTCTGAATCCCAGTTGTTCTATTTTTGCTTCTATGTGACCATGGGCAAGTAACTAAACCTCACTGAATCTCAGTGTCTTCATCTGTAAAACGGGATAATATATTAATATTAGTCTGATTTCATTAGGTAGGACTGTGTAAGAAACAATCCTAATCTCAGTGGCTTATAAACACAAAAGTTTATATTTCACTCATGTCAGCTCAAATGTGGGCTGCTTCACATCCCTTTCCCTCCAGGACCAAGGCTGAAAGAGCAGCCCCATCTGAGATAGACCATTTTCATGAAAGGAAAAATTTCTCTCGATGAAATACATAACAGCTCTTAAAGCTTCTGCTCAGATGTGGTGAGAGACATTTCTGCTTAAATTTCATTGGCTAAAAAAAAGATCATAGGATCAAGCCTGACATCAGTGAGGCTGGAAAGAATGCTACTTCTACAGGGCGCACTGCAGTTGCATGGCAACAGATGATGATGTATACTCCTTAACTGGAAGAGCAACTTAAGAGGAGTAACAATACTGCCTACCAGAGAATAATAGTACCTTCCTTACTGATGTGAGATTTAAATGAGGTGAGGCACATGCAATGTTTAACACAGTATTCTACACTTAATAAAAGGTTTGATAAATGTTAGATGCCATTATGATTATTACCTCCTAGTGCTGCTGAAAATTTTTCTCTTCACTGTACTGAGCTGAACCTGATCTGAGAGGAAGAAAAGCAGGAGTTGTAATTATTCCCAATATTTAATTTGGAGACAAAAACTTTGAGTCTAAGGGGCACAGGTTTTGGAGTAATGTGGACTTCTTATGAGAACCGATGATCTTAGACAAATTAAACTGTTGAGCCTTACTTTCCTCAACTCAAAGACTGAGACTTGGAACTGTGTTGTAGGCTTGTCATCAGGGCCAAATTAGCCCAATCCTGGGCACGTAGTAGGTGCTGAGTATTTGAATTATTGAATATGGATTTTTGACTTATTTCAGATAGTCAATGAACTGTATGCATAACATAACCACATACCGCCTTTTCCATACTTTTGAGTCTCAGCTCAAATATCACTTCCTCAGAGATACTTCCCTGACCACCTGATTAAAAGTACCTCCCCTGCCTCCAGTCACTTTTCCCTGTTTCTTGGCGTTACAGCTCTTGCAACGCTCTGAAATTGTCTTGTCCACTCACTGTTATGCAATATCTGTCTCTGCCACTAGAAAGTAAGTGCAACGCAATCAGGATCATGTTTTCTTATTTCCACCTTCTGCCGTGGGCCTCTGGCATTCTCATCCGTAAAACTAGGGGGAGATGGTGAGGGAAAGCGAGAAACATGAAGTCTAGCCATTTCACCGGAGTCTGACGCACCTTCCAACTCAGGACTCGCATTCCTTCCAAGCTGGGCACAGCCTTCCGTCTCCCACTCGGCCAGCAGTGAGGCCCCGCCCTTTGTGGGTGTGGCCTTCAATGTTGTGCCGGCCGCCTGCGGGCCGCCCAACGCGGAAGGTGAGTCACGTCACACGCACGCAGGCCCAGCGCAGCGCCAGATCTCGCTACGGGCGGAAAAGGGGCGTGGCCATGCGCGAGGACCCCGTAGTCGCCGGCGCCACCGCCTGAGTTGCCTGCAGGTGGCTGTTCTCGGCTCCCTGCCATTCAGGCAGCTCGAAAGCCACTCTGTTTTGGGGGCCTCGCGCCCCTTCCACGTCTCCCGGAAGCGGTAGCAGGGCCCGGGCAGGTAGGGTAGGTTTACTTAGTTTGGGCCCCTTCTGGGCCCGCTATTGAGGGGGCGCGGCCCAGGACGGCGATTAAGCCGTGGGTACAGCTTCTCCGGAGTCCTCAGGTGAGGCGGAGGTGGGGGCCCACTGAACGAGACGGGGGTGTTAACGATCCTAGGAGAGGGGGCGCCGTCCCTTTAGCGGAGACCCAGGTCTGTCCGCCTTCTTTCGGGTCGCGCTCGTCTTCGCTCTGTTGGGGGCTGAGGAGGGTAGCTGGAGAGACCCATTGGGCTTCAGCCGACGTTGTTTACTACCCTCCCCTGTCTTCCTTCCACCCGACCCCTGCCTGGCCTCGCCGTGCTCGCACGGAACGAGATGGGTGGGGAGCGTAGTGGGGGTCCCTACTCTCTTAACTGAGATCCACAGACTGACAGACCCCAGGGCTCTGCCGACTAAGCCTGACCGACCGACCTCCAGTCTCCTTCCCTCTGTGCTGACCCCTGGCCTTTGAAGCAGGCCCTGCCACCGCCCTCTGCACACCCATCCCCATCCCAAGCACTCTCTTTGCCCCTGGGCAGTGCCGGGGGAATTGACGGCTTTGTGCCTCTGAAGTCCTTTGTGCGTGTGAGATGTTTTTGTCAGAGGGGCAAGTGCCCAGGTCCCATCTAAGTATTTATTTAATTAGGTAATCAACATTCATTGCAACATTAACAGCAATTGCATGCTGTTTTAAAGCCCAATTAATTTTAAAATGGGAGGCAAGATATAAAGAATTAATGAGTGTGTGTTGATTTTTTATTACTATTTTTGTAGAGGCAGGGTCTTGCTACGTTGCCCAGGCTAGTCTCAAACTCCTGGCCTCAAATGGGCCTCCCCACTTGGCCTCCCAATGTGTTGGGATTACAGGCATGAGCCACAGTGCCTGGCCGGTATGGTGTTCTCTATGTTACAGAGATTTCATCTCCATTTTCATTTGATTTTTTATAAACTTTGAAATACATAGGCATGTAATAGTTACATGTGTAAAGAATGAGTTTTTTGAGTGTGAAGGATGAGTTTCTTGAGGTTTTTTAAGATTTTGAGCGGTATGGTATAGGGAGGCAAGGGTTAAAACGTGGGTTTGGCTCTAGGCTGACTTAGACTTGAGTGAGCTGCTATCTAAACTCGGTGATCTTTCTAAACGCTTTCCACATTTGCTTTGAAAAAAGGATGTTGCTGTTTACCACATAATGTGGCTGTGAAAATGACATATGATAAAAGATACATGGGTACCTGTGCACAGCCTCTGTCATATGAAAATTCCATTCAGCAGTATTTATGAGTGCTTACTGTGTGCTAGACTTTGGAATTCATTGGTGAGCAAAATAGACATAGTCACTATATAGCCGCTGCGCCCCTTGCCTGAAGAACAAGAGACATGTTAAAAAAAAATACGTAATTATAAAATATGAAGGGCTGTGAGGCAAAAGAATAGGGTATGTACAGATAATGATTGACCTAACTTAGGTGGAAAGGAGAACTCTGATGCAGATGACATTTGAGTGAAGACCAAGAACAAGAAAGTTAACCATGAAAGAGTTCTTGGCAAAAGGAACAATGTGCATAGTCTAGAAATGGTTGTGGACTTTATTATAGAGCTCTTCTGTATCTGTATGTTCATCATTACATTGATTTATTGCGGCACACAGTAAGTACTCAAATATATGTGTGGAATTAGTGGTTATGCAATGTTGTTTTTTATTCTGAACTTAGCTTAATGTGCACATGGTGTTGAGTATTTGAATTATTGAACATGTGCCTTAGACAAATTATATGCACATCTAAATTATATTTAATAGTGCCACAGTTTAACATTAAGATAGCTTTTGTATTTAATGGAAAAGTTTTTTCAAGTTTTAGCACTTTTAAACAAACTTCAGTGAATTTTACTTTTATTTGGTTGTACTGGAGTTTTGCCATATGAGTTATTTGCTATTTGGATGCTGTATTAATTTTGCTTTAACCAGGTACCACAGACTGACTGGCTGGGCCGACAGAAATTTATTTTCCCTCAATTCTGAAGGCTTCAAGTCCAAGATCAAGGTATTGGCAGAGTTGGTTTCTCCTGAGGCCTACTTCTTTTGCTTGTAGATGTCTGCCTTGTCCCTGTGTCTTTTCTGTATGCCTGTTTATGTTGAAATTTCCTCCTCTTTGGAGGACATGCGAGTTATATTTGATTAGGGCTCACCCTAATGATTCATTTCAGTTATCCCTTTGGAGACCCCATCTTTAAAAACAGTCACATTTTGAGGCCTGGGGGTTAGGACTTAAATAAAGGAATTTGGAGGGATGCAATTCAGCCCATAACAGATGCTTTTGTTACATTAAGATTTGCCTTTCATGAAATAGTAATAATAAAAACAGAAGGGCTAGTTGTAATAATGGTAATAGCAGCCACTAAAATGAGTGCTTATTATGTGCCAAGCATTTTGCAAAGTGTTTTTTATATATTATTTCATCATAAAACCATCCCGTAAGGTACGTACATTCCCTCCCTCCCCCCCCCCCATTTTCTAGATAAGATTTCTCAGCCTCATTAGTTAGCTCAAGGTTACTCAGGTAGGATTAGAAGGGTTAGGATTTCAACCCGGGACTACCTCACTCCAGAGTCTGGTCTTAACATTTATTATACTCTGCCATTATGCCACACTGATCATTTTATGTCCTTTTTACAGGTTTGTCAATAGGATTATTCTGCTGCCATCATGTCTTGGTTTGTTGATCTTGCTGGAAAGGCAGAAGATCTTTTAAACCGAGTCGATCAAGGAGCCGCAACAGCTCTTAGTAGGAAGGACAATACCAGCAACATCATACATAGCAAAAATACTGATTATACTGAACTTCACCAGCAAAATACAGATTTGACATATGAGACTGGACCCAAAGCTACCTACATTTCATCAGCAGCTGATAACATTCGAAATCAAAAAGCCACCATCTTAGCTGGCACTGCAAATGTGAAAGTTGGATCTCGGACACCAGTGGAGGCCTCTCACCCTGTTGAAAATGCATCCGTTCCTAGGCCTTCATCCCAGTTTGTGCGAAGAAAAAAGTCAGAACCTGATGATGAGCTGCTGTTTGATTTTCTTAATAGTTCACAGAAGGAGCCTACCGGGAGGGTGGAAATCAAAAAGGAAAAAGGCAAGACACCTGTCTTTCAGAGTTCTCGGACATCAAGTGTCAGTTCTGTGAACCCCAGTGTAACCACCATCAAAACCGCTGAAGAAAATTCTTTTGGGAGCCAAACCCACGGTAGTTCATCAGTCCTCTGTTTGTTTTAGAGTTAAGCAAATTGAATGTGTCATCATATGATCTTATGGTGTTTCTCATTCACTGTTATGGGATCTGTCTCCACTGCTATAAGGGCAGACAGTGCAAATGTGTGGGGTCAACAAGGGAGACATCATTGAGTACTATTAGTCAGTAGACAGTTGTAGCAGGGACTTTTGAATGTTGTCTGCAGGGTAACTTTACCCATTCAGCATCTAACAAAGTATTTCAAATTTGATTCTCTAAGACATTTTAAGTTTAAAAAAAATAAAATTTTGTAATCTGAAAGAAAGCATGTAAGTTAGGATCGGGGACAATCCCAGTTGATATCTTTTTGTTACTAGGATTATAAATATGACAGCAGACTGTACTTCACATATTTTCTGGGTTGTGTTTTTTTGTGTGTGTGTTTTTCCCCTACATCCTCCACAAATAAAGCTGAGAGACTGAACTTTGATCCAAGTTGAAGAGTGGAAGGCATTGACCTAGTAGTGAAGCAAGAGCTTAGAATTCTTGTTTTCAGTTGTTTAATTCCCTGTGAGATTACCTCTACAGGTACACCTTAGCTGTGAAATGAGATTAACATGGTAAATGTGGCTAATTCAAGTACCTACTAAGTGTTTTAAAATAGCAATAGGCTGGGCATGGTGGCTCACACCTCTAATCCCAGCACTTTGGAACCCCGAGGCAGGCAGATCACTTGTGCCCAGGAGTTTGAGACCAGCCTGGACGACATAGTAAAACCCCATCTCTACAAAAAATACAAAAATTAGCCAGGCGCAGTGGTGCATGCCTGAAGTCTCAGCTACTTGGGAGGCTGAGGCGGGAGAATTGCTTGAGCCCAGGAGGTCAAGGTTGCAGTGAGCCAAGATCATACCACTACACTCCAGCCTGGGCGACAGAATGAGACCCTGTCTCTAAAAATAAAAATTAGAAAAGGCAAGAAACATGATAGTAGGTTCTTGTAGGGCTTCTTTCGTTGTTTTGAAACAGGATCTCACTCTGTTGCCCAGGCTGGAGTGCCGTGGAGCTATCACAGCTCGCAGTAGCCTTGACCTGGGCTCAAGTGATCCTACTGCTTCAGCCTCCCGAGTAGCTGAAACTATAGGTGCACACCACTGTGCCCAGCTAATTTTTAAAACTTATTTTTAATAGAGACAGTGTCTGATTGTATTGCTCTGGCTGGTCTTGAGCTCAAATGATTCTCCCACAGCATTGAGATAACAGGCATGAGCTACCATGGCCCTAACTACAGGGATTCTTTTTTTTTTTTTTGAGACGGTCTTACTGTCACCCAGGCTGAAGTACCCTGGCACAATCTCAGCTCACTGCAACCTCTACCTCCTGGGTTCAGGCTATTCTACCTCAGTCTCCTGAGTAACTGGGACTGTAAGAGTGTACCACCACGCTTTGCTAATTTTTGTATTTTGTCTGGGAAGGCACTCAATTCATTTTTAAATTAATGGCACAAGTGATTCTAAAGCCAGTTGTTCAGGGATCAATCTTTAACAGCGATCTGTAGGAGTGATGGGTTTAATTGCATAAACAGTGTGATACAAGGGCCTTCACAAACAGGTCCCAACTTTGTTTGCTAGCTGCATTTTCTTCATCATCGTCCAATTCACACTCATGTTTCCAAAACTTTCTTACAACATTTTCTGCTCACCCAACCCCTTAAAGAGTTTGTTTTCTCTGCATGGAATGCTGTTTCTAACTTATTTTTTTTACCTGGCAAATTCCTGTTCATTCTTTAAGACCCAGCTAAAAATACAGACCCTCTGTGAATCTTTTCTGAATACCTTATGCATTTAGTTACCTCCTCTTCATGCTTCCACAGCTCTCCGACCATACTTCAACTGCTGCATTTACTAGACCGCATGTAAAATTATCTGTTTACATGTCTACCTCACCCACTTCAGTCTATCTTTCAGTCTGAATCACATTTTCTGGGGATGGAGCCAGGGCATCTGATTTTGTTCTGTAGGTGGTTGTTAGCCAGTAGTTGAAAGTGACTGCCATAGGCAGTGTGATGCTAGTAGAGGTCTTTAAGTCAAGTAGGCATGGCTTATTTTTGCACTTTCAAAGAAAACAACCTGAATTTAACTATAAAGAATGGACCTAAAGGGAACCTAGTTGTCAGGGAAATGAATTAGAACTGGTTATAATACACAGGAGTTATAAAAATTGTTTTTCTTGGGTAGGACCTCTCAACCTTGAGATTATTGGCGTTTTGGGCCAAATAATTCATTAGCGTGGGAAGCTCTCCTGTTCTTTGTAGGATGTTTAGCAGCATCTCTGGCGTCTTAACCCTTTAGATGCTAGTAGCACCCTCAATTGTGACAACCAACAATGTCTCCACAAATTGCCAAATGTCCCTTGCAGGGCAAAATCACCCCAGGTTGAGAACCAATGTCCTGAGATGCCTAGAAATGTGTAGAAATATAATTGCTGCCGGGCGCGGTGGCTCAAGCCTGTAATCCCAGCACTTTGGGAGGCCGAGGCGGGTGGATCACCAGGTCAAGAGATCGAGACCATCCTGGTCAACATGGTGAAACCCCGTCTCTACTAAAAATACAAAAAATTAGCTGGCCATGGTGGTGCATGCCTGTAATCCCAGCTACTCAGGAGGCTGAGGCAGGAGAATTGCCTGAACCCGGGGGGCGGAGGTTGCGGTGAGCCGAGATCGCGCCATTGCACTCCAGCCTGGGTAACATGAGTGAAACTCCATCTCAAAAAAAAAAAAAAAAAAAAAAAAAAGAAATATAATTGCCGAGCTGTAGGGTTTGACAGTGTTCAGCTACACTAGTAATGCTGAAGTGGCTTTCTGCAGAGGTTATACCAATTTATATTCTAACCAGCTGTGGTTAAGAACTTCTTTTGCTCCACATTCTCACCATTTTTTATTTTCAATTTGACTTTTTATTTTTTGCTGATCAGGTTTGTTGTTGATACTCTTTATTTCCTTTATTACTAGTATGGTTGAAGATCTTTTCAGATATTTGACTATTCAGGTTTCATTTTCTGGGAAGCATCTACTCAAGTCTTTTTTAATAAATTTTATTTCTGTTAGATTATTTGTCTTTTTTCTTCTTGATTCATAGACATTGTTTACATATTCTAAATTCCAATTCTTTCTTTTCCTCCTCCAATTTTACCCTGGTTTTCCCTTCCTCCCCTCTCTCTGTAGTATCTCAGTGAATAGAAGTTCTTAATATAGATGACTGATGGCTTGTGTTTGTTGTGTCTTGGAAAATCTTTCCTTACACTGAGGTCATGAAGATATTTTTTGTATTGTTTTCTATAGTGTGAGACAGGCATTCTATTCCATTTTTTTGCCATAGGGAAACTGGCTATTCTAGCATCATTTATTGAAAAGAGTCTCTTGTCCTTACCAATTTGCAGTACCACCTCTCTTATATATCAAGTACTCATTAGTGTGTTTCTGGACACCTAATTCTGTTTCACTGGTTTATTTGTGTATCCTTGTGCCAGTGCCGCCCTGTTTTAATTAATGTAAAATTAATTAATTTTATATGTCTTGATAACTGACAGGGCAGCTTCTTTCACCTCGTGGTCTTTCTTCAGAAATGCTTTGTCTGTTCTTGGACTTTCCACTCCCACATGCATTTTAGGATTTGCTTATCAAGTTTCACAAAATTTCTTTTTTATCGGTAATTCATTGCTTCTATATAGATAGTTTGGTGAGAATCAGCACTTTTGCTCTATTGAATTTTCTTATCCACTAATGGGGTATAATTTCAACATATTTTGTAATGTCTTTCATTAAGATTTTATTTTCTTCTCCGTAAAGATCTTATATACTTTATGTTAGTTTTATCCCTAAGTGGTTTGTATTTTTTGAAACAATTATATGTGGTATTTCTTAAAAATTTTTGCTGTGTTAAAATTTTTGCTGTGTAAAAATTTTTGCTGTATTAAAATTTTTGCTGTGTAAAAATTTTTGTTGTTTTTTTGTGTATACATACACAGCAATCTAGATAGCTCTTAATCTTCATGTTTTTCTGGACATAAATTTAGGTTTTCAACAACACAGTTATCTGTGTATAAGGATAGTTTGTATCTTCCTAGCCCTTTTATCTTTTAAAAAATCTTTTTCTTCATTGGCTAGGACTCAACAACCAAATTTGTATCTTGTTCTTTCTTTGTCTTTGTTTCATTAAGTATGATTTTACATTAGGCTTTTCATAGATATTTTTTATTAGGTTAAGGAAATTTCTATAAATATCTAGTTTGAATTTTTATTATGTTGAATTTTAGCAATGTTTTTTTCTCTACCACTGGAGATAATAATATAGTTTTTCTTCTTTAATATTAATATAGTATACAAATCAATTGATTTTTTGAATTAATTTTTATTTTCATTTATATATTTATTTGAGATGGGAGTCTCACACTGTCACCCAGGCTGGAGTGCAATGGCACGATCTTGGCTCACTATAACGTCTGCCTCCTGGGATCACATGATTCTCCTGCCTCAGCCTCCCTATTAGCTGGGATTACAGGTGCACACCACTGCACACAGCTAATTTTTCATATTTTTAGTAGAGATGGGGTTTCATTATGTTGGCCAGACTGGTCTTGAACCTCTGACTTCGTGATCCACCTGCCTTGGCCTCCCAGAGTGTTGGGATTACAGGCGTGAGCCACCGTGCCTGGCCAACAGTCCCATTTTAAAATCATGGGTTAGGTACCCACCCATTCTCTACCCCACTTGATTATTAGCTTTTTGTGGTTATTTTTTCTTTTAGGTAAAATGTACATATATTAAGATGCACAAAAATCTTATTTATATGACGAATGGCTATGCCTGTGTAACCGACACCTTTACCATGATACAGATTTCCTTTGCCCCAGGAAGTTCCTCATGTTCCTTTTCAGTTAATCTCCCAACCCCATCTCTAGAAGCACTCATTGCTCTGATTTTTCTCTCCTTAGTTTTGCTTGTTCTAAAACTTCATATAAATTGAATTATATAGTATGTATACTTTCTAATGTGCTTCTTTTACTGATCTGTTAGATTCATCCTTGTTACTGTTCTTTTTTTAATTCTGTTTTATTGTTATATAGTACTATATGGCCGTACCACAGTTTATCCATTCTCTTTTATGGACATTGAGTTTGTTTCCAGTTTTGGGTTACTGTGAATAAAACTGTTATACACATTTTTGTACTTGCTTTTTTGTGGCAAATGTTTTCATTTCTCTTGGAGAAATACTTAGGAGTGGAATTGCTGGGTGAAACGATAGCTGCATTATAAAACCTTTTTCCACAGTGGTTGTACCATGTTATAGTCCCACCAACAGTGAGAGGCCTCGTTGCTCTGCAGTCTCACCAGCATTTGGTGTTTTTCATTTTAGCCATTCTAGGGGGTGTCTGTTGGTTCTCATTGTGATTTTAATTTGTGTTTCCTTGATGACTAAAGATGTTCAGAACTTTTTCATTTGATTATTGATATTTGTTTATATAACCTTATAAAGTATCTTTTACCCATGTATTTATTGTTTTAGTCAGTTTTGTTATTTAGATAGTTCATTTTCATCACATAATATTTAGAGTAATTTAAAAGTATACTTGCATTATGTTTAGTAACAAAAACAAGATTAATCTGAATTCATGAGCCTCTGTCTCTTTGGGTAAGACATTTTAGATTCCAGTTTGTTAAAACAAAAGAAAAAAAACATTGCAGTGACCTGTTGCTACTCTTCTTGCCTTGAAACCTGCAGCTGTTCTGTTGTGCCTTCTCAATTTTTCAATGTTTGAGACTTCTCCTGGTTACTTTTCCAAAAACATTTTGGAGACAAAAGGAAATCCAAAACTATTTACCTGAACCCAACCACTCAAGTGATCTCTGGTGTTCTCCCCAGAACTGTGTTGTATTCTCTGTTGCCATTCATTCAGTGTATCCAGACTTGAGGATCCTCAGAGGTCCATATGCTCCATTTATGAGAATGAAATGTCATCAGAGGGAAGCTATTAAGAATTTACTTTTTTTTTGGCACCATGTCTTGCTCTGTCGCCCAAGCTGGAGTGCTGTGGCGCAGTCTTGGCTCACTGCAACAACTTTGGCCTCCCAGGTTCAAGCAATTCTCCTGCCTCAGCCTCCTAAGTAGCTGGCACTACAGGTGCATGCCACCATGCCTGGCTAATTTTTATATTTTTGGTAGAGATGGGGTTTCACCATGTTGCCTAGGCTGGTCTCAAACTCCTGACCTCAGATGATCTGCCTGCCTCGGCTTCCCAAAGTGCTGGGATGACAGGCATGAGCCACCACGCTGAGCTGAGAATTTGTTTACTTTTTATGGTATTTTAGCTATAGCAGTCAACTTGAGCATCCTACCAAAGCAAGTTATTAATGCATATGTGGTGAACATGTCAATGTAACAAAAACATGTTCTTTTTTAACAGAAGCTGCCAATAACTCAGATTCTAGCCATGAAGGTCAAGAGGAACCTTCAAAGGAAAATGCATCATCAAATGCTACCTGCACTGAGCACACCCCAGCACCTAATGATGATGGTGGCAAATCACATGAACTATCTAACCTTCGACTGGAGAATCAGCTGCTGAGGAATGAAGTTCAGTCTTTAAATCAGGAAATGGCCTTGTTACTTCAAAGATCCAAAGAAACTCAAGAAGGTAGAGGCTTATTTAAATTGTGCAGGATTAGGAGTTTAACTTTTAAAAAACTTTAAACTGTTAACAGTATTTACTTTTAAACTGTGAGAAATTAGATGAGACTTGTAAAATGATATTTTCATAGAAATACAGGGCCCAGATTTGGAAATGGGATCAGTCATCCTCCCACCAACCCAAAATGTAAAAAGTATTGGCTTCTTTGGTTATTCTTTAAGAACCATGACGTTTAAGAACTGAGAGGAACAAATAGTAGTAGTAGTCTAGTTGATTCATTTATTCTGAACTTTCAAGGGAAACTGTTCCATTAAACAAAATAGTAGGCACTAATAGGGTTGCAGTATTGCTGCTCTAGGGTGCATAAAACGTAGATGGAATTCAGTACAGTGCTCTTGAGAAATGTGCAGTGAGGTGGCCCTGGAGTAGAAAACCTCAGGTTCCTCAGAAATAGATAATTAAGAAGGAAATAATCTCATGACTGAGGTGGCGACTGAGAAAAGTGTGAATGTTATTGTGACTGTGGCTGAGAAGAAAATCAGAGTGACAGAATTGCTGCTTTGGTTTCTGGGGCTAATTAGAAAGGAGTTGGGGGATGGTGGGAAAAGCTTTGCCAAGCTGTGGATAGAAACTCAGAAGAGAGGAATAGGTAGATAGTTTAAGACTCACTAGTCAGGCTGACTTTAGAAAAAGCTTTGCTTTACCCAGACTAATTTAGACATAGAAATAGAGCTGTTTGGCCAGCCACAGTGTCTCATGCCTGTAATCCCCGCACTTTGGAAGGCTGAGATTGGAAAGCTGGTTGAGGTCAGGAGTTTATTAACAGCATGGGCAACAGAGTGAGACCCCCTTGCTGCAAAAAAAATTTTTTTTTTTTTAATTAGCTGGGTGGTGGTATGCACCTGTAGTCTGAGCTACTTTGGGGACTGTGGTGGGCAGATTGCTTGAACCCAGGAGTTGGAGGTTGTAGTGAGTCATGGGTCATGATCATGCCATTGCACTCCAGCCTAGGCAACAGAGTGAGGCTCACTCTCTCTCTCTCTCTTTTTTCTTTAAAAAAGATCTGTCTCACTGAAGAAAAAAAAAAAAGCTTTGAGATCCTATAAAGTTTGATTCAGTATTTTAAAAAATTTGTTGGTGGCTAATTGCAATTACATATGGTATGTGAAGGTGCGGAAATGCCATTGGATTCTGAAATAGAGTACTACTTTGCTCTTTTTGCATTGATTTCTTAGGTCAAAAGAATAACAACTTTTTGCAACATAATTGAAAGAAATAGATTCTTTTCTGTGTTTATCTTTAGGTTTTGTTTTGTTTGTTTTGTTCTTACTGGGGTATACCGTTGATTTGGATTTGCATTCCTTCCCTTGTTACTAGTGGAACTTTCCAAAATATACTCTGCTATCTATTAATACTAGTTTTGGCTCCCAGATGCTTTATGATATACAAACAGCATTGTAGAAGAGCAGCCAGCTTGATGCCCCTTTATAATCTATTAACTGTAATCTAGGTGGGAATATTGGCCTTGAAAAATGGATGACCCACTGGGGCAAAGAAAATTGAAGATAGTGTAAGCTCCTAATTTTGGCAATAAGGAAAGTACTAATGGCACTCATAGTAGAAACTATATGTGCTTCAAGAAAAATGTGTTTGGTTTTGCTTGTATAGAGAAATTTAAATTTTTTATAGAATTAAACAAAGCAAGAGCAAGAGTTGAAAAGTGGAATGCCGACCATTCAAAGAGTGATCGAATAACTCGAGAACTTCGAGCCCAAGTCGATGACCTGACTGAAGCTGTGGCTGCAAAGGATTCCCAGCTGGCTGTACTGAAAGTGAGACTCCAGGAAGCTGACCAGCTGCTGAGTACTCGCACAGAAGCATTAGAAGCCTTACAGAGTGAAAAATCACGGTACGTGATTCTGTGAATAATGAAAAAAACGAGATAGAATGATTCTCTTTTTCCAGTGCAAGTAATGGTAGGCATTGTAGTGTATCTATTGTCTTATGAAACTTAGCTTTCTTGGAAATTTGCAAGAGGGACTATTTCTTTTGGTAGTGTCAGAAATGTATATGATCAAAATGGATTCATTGTTGAACCTTGAGATGCATTGTTAACAAATTCTGAATTTAAATGCATTTATATTGTCATTAATCTTATTTTATTTTTATTTATTTATTTTTTTTAAATTTTTTTGTTTTAGAGACGGGGTTTCACCATGTTGGCCAGGCTGGTCTTGAGCTCCTGACTTCAGGTGATCTGCCCGTCTTGGCCTCCTAAAGTGCTGGGAATACAGGCATGAGCCACCGTGCCTGGCCATTTTTTATTATACAGTGTGTACTTATATTTGGATGCCTAAAAATATAGATTACGTTCCATTAGAAAGGAAAGATTTGTCTAAGAATGTTTCAGTCACATCATCTTTTTTGTGCTTGACTAACAAGGTGATGCTCCAAAAATTATTCTGCCTTATCACTTGTACACTGTAGACATGAGTTTTTTCACATGATGCATTTTCCTTTAGAATAATACAGGATCAGAGTGAAGGTAATAGCCTGCAGAATCAAGCTCTGCAAACTCTTCAGGAAAGACTGCATGAAGCTGATGCCACTCTGAAGAGAGAGCAGGAGAGTTATAAACAGATGCAGGTTAGAATGGGTGATAATGGATTCCTATTGTTATTTGGACAAGGAAGAAATGACTTTATGCTGTTTCATAGCACATTAACTCTTTCATACAATTCTGTAGTACATTTCAGAAAATTCTGTTTCTGTGACAAAAATCAGATATTTGAAAATTTACCTTGATCCTTACTAAGTTTATTTAATTTTTTGTGTTGAGAGACAAAATAGTTAATATGCATTAGAGATATACACCTTTCACTTAATTTTTGCAACAATCATTGCCATTATTTGATTAAATGCTGATGGTTGGGAGATCATATTTGGTTTTTATTAATTTAAGCTTTTTCTGATTCCAGATTAATCTGGCTCATTTATTTCAAGAGAAAATTATATGTAATTTGTAGAGTTTTACTTTTAGATGAATTTTTGCATCTAGTTGAGTCCCAGCCCTGTCTACACATGGAAATCACCTGTGTGGTACTGCCTGGTCTCCATACGCAGCCACCTTCCATTGTGTGAGGTAGGGCCTAGGTGTTGGCACTTTGGTTTTACAAGATTCACAGGTGTATTTAATGAGCAGTCAGGGTTGCAAACCACTGGTCTGGGCTAGCTTTTCAACAGGTGAAAGTAGTTCAGTCCTGAAAGTAAGTATCAGGTAGTGTGTGTTTCTTAATTTTAATGATATAGTTTATCTAACACAGTATATCCAAATTAGTAATCATTTCAACATATAGTCAAATTAAAAGCTATTAATGAGATATTTTACATTATTGTTTGGATATTGATTATTTAAAATGTGGTATAATTTACACTTATTTATCTGCTTATTAAATTGGAAGCAGTTGATCAGCTAGTATCAGAGCAGACCGAGTATCCAAGTGACCATATTAACCTGGGAAATTTCTTAAAAAACAGATTCCCAAGTCCATCTTGAAAATTCCAATTTAGTAAGCTTGGGAAAGGCCTTGGATGGCTGTATTTTTAACAAACTTCCTAGTTGATTTTGATGCATTGCCATGTTTGGGAGCCACAACCTTAGATTTCCTATTCTTTAGTTCCTAACAAATTAAGAATTTTTTCCCCGCCCTGTTACGTTGTTGGGCTTAGCTAATACATCCCATAAGATATCTGAATGGATGGTTGTGAAAGTGTTTCAAAGCTCAATGAAATAATAATTATGATATAAAAATTTGTCACAGAGTGAGTTTGCTGCACGCCTTAATAAAGTGGAAGTGGAACGTCAGAATTTAGCAGAAGCAATTACTCTGGCAGAAAGAAAATATTCAGATGAGAAGAAGAGAGTTGAAGAACTGCAGCAGCAAGTCAAGCTATATAAGTTGAACTTGGAGTCTTCTAAGCAGGAATTAATTGACTACAAGCAAAAAGCTACTAGAATACTCCAAGTAAGCATAAAATGGACACTTTTGGATGTTAAGATGTGCGAGTTAACTGAAAGACACTTTGAGACCTGTAGATACTGTGTGAGATGCTTTGTGTTTGGCTGGTTGGCTAGCTTTAGGTGTCTTGCTCTACTTGAGAAATTTGATTAAAAGGATACAGTGTCTGTTTTTCCTACCAATTATTTTTTAAAAAATTCCTTCTCCCACTGTCTAGTTCAAGTCTTCAACCTGTCACCTTACTCACCGTGATGATATTAGTGCTTGTTGTTGAGCAGCTGTTTATTCTTTCTTGTTAATCTCCTATTGAATTTTTACAGCAACTGCTTTAGGACCCATCCAGTTCTCAGAATTGCCTCATCCAGCTTTTCTTTCCCTCCTTCAGATCTAAGGCGACCTTACCCTCTACTTAGAAAGACTGCAGTCATCTAATGTCGTTTTCAAGTTCTCTTTCCTTTGCCCCTCATTTCAGAGGGAAAACATGTCCTTTCATTTTGTTTCTAGGATCATTTCCCTACTGTGCACTGACTCCCTCTCCTCCCACCTCATGTAAGCCCTTTCTCTGTGTATCTATTCCCTTGCTTCCTGTGTGTGCCTCTCTCTGCTGCTGCCACCTTCTGGCTCAGCTTATTCAAGAGCACATGGTTACTTAGTGGAAAAATGAAGACTAGATCCCAGACTCCTAAGAGAAAAACAGTCTCTTTTAGCTTTGCACCCACTTTGCACGGACTTACCAGAATTATTGTATATATGCCATCTTCATTTCTGTAGACCTTGTTAACTTTATCTCCTTCTTTTCCTACTACATGTCTGAAATTTCTTCTCAAAAGTATTCAATGACCAAAATAAATATTCTCTGCCCTTTTCTTAGTCTCCATACCTTTTATTTTGGTAAAACATTTGGCCCCGTTAACCCTCCCACTTTCTTGGAACTCCTGCCTTCTATGCTGTTCACATCTTCTTGGCGCTCTTGTCCTCTTCTACTGCTGTTTCTGTCTCTCTTAGGCCCTCTTCCCAATTTCCAAAGAGTCAAGTCCCCCTAAGCTCTGTCGTGAACCCTCTTTCATTGCCTTGTCTTACCTTGCATTGCCATATGCTCACTCTGCTTCCCATAGCCACCTGCATAGGACTTCAAGCATGTTTCCAACCCTGACCTCCTGACTTCAGCATTCTACTGTGGAGGTATGGGGTATTCAGCTCCCAGACCAGCTTCTCCCTCATTCTCCTGTTTTGGTCAGTGTTACTACCATCTGTCAGGAAAGCTTGAAACCTCATTTTTGACTTTACCTTTTTCCTTTAGTCACAAACTCCTAATGGCTATGAATACCTTTTTCTAATGCTGCTTCTGTGAATTATCATATTCATCTCCTCCCCAAACCCTTCTTCCTAAGTACTTTTTATATCACCCTAATTTGTTAATTTGTTGAAAAGTTACTTACTGAGCACCTAACTACTCACTAGGCACTGAGGACACAAAGCTCAAGAGATGTGTCCTCTTCCTTTAAGAAAACATTCATTTTAATGGAAAGAAGCTGAGATAATTGATAAAGTTATTGATGCAGTACAATGGGAGCTGGAGAGAAGAATCTCTTAAAACTTTCCTGGGGCTGTCACTGCACTGAGGAGATGTGGCATAAAGAGAAACTTGAAAGATGAATAGGAAGACTCATGATAGGGAAGAGATTTCCTGTGCCAGAGCAAGGGGGCTGGAGAGAACATGGTGTCTCTAAGGGACTGCAGCTAGTTCTCTGCTGCTGGAGCATAAGTTTTCAGAGATGGGAGGCAAAAGACTCATAAAGCTCAATGACAGGCAGAAGCCATGATCAGGTTTGAGTGTTGGAACTGTGGCAGCCTGATGAAAAGGTTCGGGGAGATTTGGACCTCTGTCTTGTTCATTGTTGTACCCCAGCACAGTGCCTGGTACTCAGTAAATTATTGAATACATGGAAGTGATAAGGGGTGGCATAGTGACATCAGTGGTATGTAGATGGTGAAGAGGTGATTATAAGAAATAATGAGGACCTGATCAAAGTTTGTGGCAGTGAGGATGGCAGGCAGGGGACAGCTAAGAGATATGTCGGAGGTAGAATATATATGATACGTGGAGTTTTAATTGGAAGGATGGGAAAAAGGCAAATGGAATCTAGGATGACTCCAGGTTTTTGGTTTGAGTGTATGAATGATGTTTCCTTGTGTTAATAAAAGGAGAAACAGGAAAGAGCAGGTTAGGGTTAAAAGAGAGTATGAGAAATTATGATGAGTATGCAAAATTGATGCGACATTGAGGTGAAAATGTTAGAAAGGTAATTAGAAGTAAGTTGGGAGAGTAGGTAAGGTTAGCCAAGAGCGATGTGTAGCCTAAGTGGGAGAAAGGCTGAGGTCTAAAAACAGTCTTAAATATCAGCAGTTACAAATTTAGCAAAGGGAGATCACCTGCAAAAGAAAAATACTGAGAAGGTGAGTGGTCAGAAATTGGAGAGAACCAGGAGGAGACTGATGCCATCCACTAAGCCAAGCAGGGGGAGAGTTTCAAGTGGGGCGTGATTGCCAGCCATGGCAGGTGGCTCTGATGTGACGAGTACCAAGCTGAGTTCTCAGATTTGGCAACTAGGGTGGGGGACCTCTCAACGGGGAGTTCCAGGGTGGCTGGGAGCTGGTGACATGAAGGCAGTGTGTTTGACCATGGTCATAAGGACAATAGCTAGGTGGGGGAATGAGGTTGGGAGGTTTCTGGTTTTTTTATTTTAAAAAATCTTAAAATGTTATAAATGATCGTGTTTATCACAGAAAATTTGAAGACTACAAAAAAAGTTTGAAGAAGGATATGGAAATAACCTATAATCCTACTATCCAGAAAAGGAAAAATTATTTTTGATGGAGGAGAATGACCTTATAATATTTGAATTTAAGGTGAAAGCTGTTGGTCCTTATTGTTCCTAGTCTAGAATTAGGACTTTATAAACTGATCTTTGCACATCAAATCTCTTCTTCCATATCCTCTTTTATCCTAGGGGTCAGAAAACGTTTAGAGGGTCAAATAGTAAATATTGTAGGCTATGTGGGCTACCTGTAGTCTCCATCACATAGTCTTTGTTTTTATTTTTTATGATCCTTTTAAAATGTAAAAAAAAATTTTAGCTTACAGGCTGTGCAAAAACAGGCCCATGGACCACCGTTTGTGAGCACCTTCTTCATAGCCCTGCAAGGTTAGCCTCCTAAAACGCTTCTCTGGTTATGTCACTCCTCTATCTACTTTTCTGTAATTTGTTTTAGCTTGTCAAATAATATTAAAACAGTTAGCCTGGGATCTGGAGCCCCTCCAAATTGGTCTTAAAATACTATCTGAGCTGCATCTCACAATATTTTACTATAGACTTTCTCTTTTGCATTTTTATGCTTTGCCCTCTGTTTTTCTCTGCACTTAAAAAAAGCCTACCCATATTTCAAGGCTCTCTTAGAGTTAAAGCCTCCTTTTATCCAGAAGTGGCTTTTCCTCTCAGAACTCTGCAAGTAATCTGACCATATCCCTTTTTCCACTTGTGTTTATTGCCTTCTGCTGAATACTTGTAACTTCTCTTTTAATTTGTAAGGCAGAGGGTACTGTCTGAGAGAGAGACATTATCTTTATTGCACAGAACACCTAGCACCATGCCAAATAAATACTTGTTGAGTAGAATGTGATGGAAAATAAAAAGTATGAGAAGAAAATGTGAGAAAAATCTTGTTTGGCCGGGTGTGGTGGCTCACTCCTATGATCCCAGCACTTTGGGAGGCTGAGATAGGAGGATTGCTGGAGGCCAGGAGTGAAAGACCAGCCTGGGAAATATAGCAAGATCTTGTCTCAAATAAATAAATAAAAATTTAAAAAAATTTTTTTTCTTTTGAGACAGAGTCTCGCTCTGTTGCCCAGGCTGGAGTGCAGTGGCACTATTTCAGTTTACTGCAACCTCTGTCCCCCAGGTTCAGGCAGTTCTCCTGCCTCAGCCTCCCGAATCGCTGGGATTACAGGCATGCGCCACCATGCCCAGCTAGCTTTTGTAATTTTAGTAGAGACGGGGATTCACCATCTTGGGCAGGCTGGTCTCAAACTCATGACCTTAGGTGATCCGCCCGCCTCAGCCTCCCAAAGTGCTGGGATGACAGGTGTGAGTCACCACGACGAACTGGAAAAAAAAAAAAAAAATCTTATTTATAGCAAGTTTTCAACTTTACCATGATTGTGGGGGCTAAAGTCCAAGGACATCATACAACAAGGCTGTATTGTATTTTTTTATCCTTATGAATTTAAGAAAACCTGTGGATTTTTTTGATGGAGATAATGGAATGTTTCTGTAGTAGGTTATTTTCTGAATGGTGGATATTCAGTATACAAACTAATTTCTACTTTGCTTAAGCATATTTCTTTTTTTTATAATAGTCTAAGGAAAAATTGATTAACAGCTTGAAGGAAGGCTCTGGTTTTGAAGGCCTAGATAGCAGCACTGCCAATAACATGGAGCTGGAAGAACTTCGGCATGAGAAAGAGATGCAGAGGGAGGAAATACAGAAGCTGATGGGTCAGATACATCAGCTCAGATCCGAATTACAGGTAAGATTCATCATGGTTCAGCTTAGTAGACAACATTTACCCTCAGATGTTACCAGTTCGAGAGGTGATGGATTCTGTATTTTAGGGAAACAGCATTACTAAAGCAATAGGTTTTGCTTGTTTGTTTGTTTTTGTTTTTTAAGGAGACAGGATCTTGCTCTGTCTCCCAGCCTAGAGTGGTATGATCATAGCTCACTGCAGCCTCAAACTCCTGGGCTCAAGCAATCTTCCCTCCTCAGGCTCCCAAGTATCTGGGACTACAGGCACACTCCATCATGCCCAGCTATTTTTTTTTATTTTTAGAGACAGGGTATCCCTATGTTGTCCAAGCTGGTCCCAAACTTCTGGCCTCAGGTGATCCTCCCTCCTCAGCCTCCCAGAGTGCTGGAATTGTAGGGCTATTGCAGCCCATGCTGGGCTAAAGCAGTAGGTTTTTATTTTTTATTTTTGAGATGGAGTCTCACTTTGTCGCCCAGGCTAGAGTGCAGTGGCACGATCTTGGCTGACTGCAGCCCCTGTTCCACCTCCCAGGTTCTAGCGATTCTCCTGCCTCAGCCTCCTGAGTAGCTGGGATTACAGGCAAGTGCCACCATGCCCAGCTACTTTTTGTATTCTTAGTAGGGACAGGGTTTCACCATGTTGGCCAGACAGGTCTTGAACTCCTGACCTGAAGTGATCCACCCGCCTCAGCCTCCCAAGTGCTAGGATTACAGGCATGAGCCACCATGCCTGACCAGGTTTCTAATCCATAAGTTGACCACAAAATTATGGGGATAAGAAACAGATTCATTCATTCTTGTCTAGAGCACAGGCTTGAATAGCAGACAGGCCTGGATAGGCTCCGTCTTTGGTACTCAGCAGATGCTCTTTGCATAAGACACTTCGTCTTGTGGAGCTTTAGTTTTCTCATCTATAGAATGTAGGTAAACAAAGGTTCTATTGACAATAAAGGAAAATATGTAAAGGACGTAGCATTGTTTCTGACATGTAATAGACCCTCAATAAATAATAGCTACTATTATTTCTGGGTTTATTGTTATTCATTAAGGTAGGATTTTTTTTTTTTTTATCTGTGAATTTGAATTCCAAAGATTTTGGTCCTGTGAACTTAGAAATTGGGTAGATGCCAAACTTACTCATATCTGTTCCATGTCTTTTTGTTGAGATGATGAAAAATATTTGTTTTATTTAATTGCTCAGCATCATTAATAACATTGACCCATTTTCTTACTCTTGTAAAAATTTATGCAATGTATCATAAGTATTAGGTCTAACAAAATGGAAGAATTGTAAATAATTACAGTAGCTATTGTCCATTGAGCACTATAAACAATAATTGTAAATAATTACAGTAATTGTAATTGTAAATAATTACAGTAGCTATTGTTTACTGCAGCAGCTGTAGCCCCCAGTTCATTCCGCTCACTGTTAGCCACAGTAGACAATGAAGGTGTCAGGTTGTATACTCCCTATAGGCTACAAGCATGTCTTACTCATCTTTATTCCTCAGTGCCTCCTGAGCCCACTTCACAGCACATAGTAATTGCTCTGTAGACAGATTGCGGTGGCTCACACCTGTAATCCCAGCACTGTAGGAGGATTGTTTGAGGCCAGGAGTTTGTGACCAGCCTAGGCAATAAAGCAATACCCCATCTCTAAAAACAAAATTAAATAAAATTAAGCCAGGCCTGGTGGCATGTGCTTATAGTCCCACTACTCGGGAGGCTGAGGTGGGAGGATCTCTTGAGCCCAGGAGTTTGAGGCTACCATGAACTATGACTGTGCCACTGCACTCCAGCCTGGGTGATGGTGAGACTCTGACTCTTTAAAAAAATAATAATAATTGCTCAATAAATGTTGAACTGAATGTTAATCATTGCTTTTACATGCAAGCTTTTTCTCTTTAGGATATGGAGGCACAGCAAGTTAATGAAGCAGAGTCAGCAAGAGAACAGTTACGGGAACTGCATGACCAAATAGCTGGGCAGAAAGCATCTAAACAAGAACTAGAGACAGAACTGGAGCGACTGAAGCAGGTCAGGATTTTAGATTGATGGCTACTGAAACTGTGTCCTCTAGTGGTCATATGAGGAGACCTCCCAGGAAAGCAGCTTAGTGAAATCTTAGCGTATAGGCTCAGGGTTACCCCGCAGGTTCCTCCTGCTTTCCCATCCCATCCTCCTTGATTTTTGTTTTTTATTTTTTTTAATCTCATTTTATTTTTTTGTTATATTTTAAGTTCTGGGGTACATGTACATATCATGCAGGATTGTTACATAGGTATACACATGCCATGGTGGTTTGCTGCATCCATCCCCCCGTCATCTACATTAGAATCTATGTTAGATATTTCTCCTAATGTTATCCCTTCCCAATCCCCCCACCCCGTGACAGGCCCTGGTGTGTGATGTTCCCCTCCTTGTGTCCATGTGTTCTCATTGTTCAACACCCACTTATGAGTGAGAACATGTAATGTTGGTTTTCTGTTCTTGTGTCAGTTTGCTGAGAATGATGGTTTCCAGCCTCATCCATTTCCCTGCAAAGGGCATGAACTCATCCTTTTTTATGGTTGCATAGTATTCCATGGTATATATGTGCCACATTTTCTTTTTCCAGTCTATCATTGATGGGCATTTGGGTTGGTTCCAAGTCTTTGCTATTGTAAACTGTGCCACAATGAACATGCGTGTGCTTGTGTCTTTCTTTTTTCTTTTTTTTAAAGACAGGGTTTCACCATGTTGGTCAGGCTGGTCTTGAACTCCCGACCTCAGGTGATCCGCCGCCTTGGCCTCCAAAGTGCTTGGATTACAGGTGTGAGCCACCACGCCCGGCCGTGCATGTGTCTTTATAATAGAATGATTTATAATTCTTTGGGTATATACCCAGTACTATAATGGGATTGCTGGGTCAAATGGAATTTCTGTTCCTAAATCCTTCAGGAATTGCCACACTGTCTTCCACAACAGTTGAACTAATTTACACTCCCACCAACAGTATAAAAGCATTTCTATTTCTCCACATCCTCTCCAACATCTGTTGTCTCCAGATTTTTTAATGACTGCCATTCTAACTGTATGTGTTCTACATTCTAAATGTATGTGTGAGTTGGTATCTCAGTGTGGTTTTGATTTGCATTTCTCCAATGACCATGAGCTTTTTTTCATATGTTTGTTGGCTGCGTGTCTTCTTTTAAAAAGTGTCTATTCATATCCTTTGCCCACTTTTTGATGGGGTTGTTTTTTTCTTGTAAATTTGTTTAAGTTCTTTGTAGACTCTGAATATTAGCCCTTTGTCAGCTGCGTAGATTGCAAAATTTTTTTCCCATTCTGTTGGTTGCCGGTTCACTTTCATGATAGTGTCTTTTGCTGTGCTGAAGCTCTTAAGTGTGATTAGATCTCATTTGTCTATTTTGGCTTTCGTTGCCTTTGCTTTTGGTGTTTTAGTCATGAAGACCTTGCCTATGCCTATGTTCTGAATGGTTTTGCCTGGGTTTTCTTCTAGGGTTTTTATGGTGTTAGGTCTTATGTTTAAATCTTTAATTCATCTGGAGTTAATTTTTGTATAAGGTATAAGGAAGAGGTCCAGTTTCAGCTTTCTGCATATGGCTAGCCAGTTTTCCTAACACCATTTATTAAATAGGGCATCCTTTCCCCATTGCTTGTTTTTGTTAGGTTTGTCAAAGATCACATGGTTGTAGATGTGTGGTATTACTTCTGAGGCCTCTGCTCTGTTCCTTTGGTCCATATCTCTGTTTTGATATCCATACTTGCTGTTTTGATGACTGTAGTCTTGTTTTTTAACAGATGAAAAATGGAGACACAGAATGGTGATTCGACTTGCCTAATATTGTACAACTGATTAAAGGTGGAATAGAACCAAGGTTTCCTGTTTCTGAGCCCAGAATGCTTTCTATTACCTTGTCTGTATTTTACGTCTCCTAGTATAGAAAACTTAAAAACAAATATTCATCAGTTGGTTTTCATAGTTTATTGCATTTTTGCTTTCTAGGAACGACAGTAAATATTAATAAAAATACAGATACAATATTAGTACCATGTTAACGACTCTTCTTGAGAAAAAAGGCTTATTACAGACTCTTCTTACAAATCATGTTTAAAATTAGATTTCATTGTTCAGCTAGCAGTTGTATTCTCCCAAGCCAAATTATTTTGCTTTAATGTACTCATATAATAATTTCAATATTAACACAAACATAGCCACATTTTCAGAATAAGATTCTATATCTAACGTTAATAACATCACCAATTTACTGACAACATTGTTATAGGCATATAGTACATACTATTTCATACTCACAAGTAAATCACTATTATTCTCTTTTATTTTACAAAAGAGAAAACTATTCTTATAATTTACTGTTAGCGTTTCCATCTTTGTGTATTTAAATTCTTTAAATCATTAGGATTTATGATGTCTGAAACTGGTTCTCTTCTCAGAGAAATTTTTTTTTAATTATGAAAGTTGTACTTCCAATTTGTTTCCTGAGTACTCAGAGAAAAACTCACCAAGTAGCCACCTGCAGGATATGTCATGGGCTGTTTTAGATAATTTAGTTATGAGGTTAACTGTCCTTTCAGAAATTGCATTTTAACTTATTCAAGGCACTATTATATATTAAAAGGCAACAATTTAATGTTCTTGATGGTTAATGAGATAATTTTCATTTTATTATGGCAGATGGGTTTACCAAACCTCTTCCCAGTGCCCTTTTCAAAATGAGGGAATTAAGTAGAAGAAAATGGAGCTTAATGTACCTATGGCTATTTATTTAGTAATCAGATGTTCCAGATGGAAAGTATTTAATCTTGCAATTGAAGAGTCCTTTAGTGCTTATTAATTTACGTAATATCAACCTTCAGTTTTGTACTAGCCTAGAGCTTAAAAGAAATCAGACAAACCTTGTAAAGTATGATTCTCCTACCCTAATTGCCTTTCTCATGATCTCTCTTCTCACCTATCTTGATTTTTTTCCATTTGTGAGATGAACAAGTTGAGCTAAATACCTAACAGAGTCTCTAGCAGTGTGCTGCCATGTCACCTTTACTTTTTCAGACAGGTCCGGAACTGCTGCTTTTACTGTCTTACTCTTTTACTGTCTTCACAGTTAAGCATAAAGCTTCTGGAAGCACTTAATCACTCCATCTTCTCTGTTCTACATTGTATTTCAGTGATTTGGACACATTTTTGGATTGGCATGTGCTTTACTCTTAGATTCTAAGCTGATTCTGAGTGATCCATTGCACAAACGAACAATGCATTAGTACAGTTGTTAATCAGTTTGGAAGTATTAACCTTTTTGAGGAGATTAGCCTTTTGTCTGTAATATAAATTACAAATAATTTTTCCCAGTTTGTCATTTATCTTTTAGTTTGAAGGGTTTTCATTTTGTTTTGTTGCTATGCAGAAGTTGATTTTATTTTTTATTTTTTATTTTTTTGAGACGGAGTCTCACTCTGTTGCCCAGACTGGAGTACAGTGGTGTAATCTTGGCCCACTGCAACCTCTGCCTCTTGAATTCAAGTGATTCTCTTGCCTCAGCCTCCCAAGTAGCTAGGATTACAGACGTTCACCACTACGCCCAGCTAATTTTTGTATTTTTAGTGGAGACCAGGTTTCACCATTGTTGGCCAGGCTAGTCTTGAACTCCTGACCTCAGGTGATCTGCCCATCTCAGCCTCCCAAAGTGCTGGGTAATGCGTGAGTGACCTTGCTTGGCCAGAAGTTGATTTTTATGTAGTCAGCTTTATCGTTCTTTTCTGCCAAGGCTTCTGGATTTTCAGTCATAGTGTTCCTCTTTCTGAAATTATAAAGAAATTTGCCCTGTAGTTTTCTTCTAGCACTTTTTTGGATTCATTTTTGTATATAAATCTTTACTTTATTAGGAATTTACTCTGATGTGTAAGGTGAGCTACAGGTCCAATTTAATTTTCTTCCATATGGCTACTTAGTGTCCTAGTATCATTTTTAAAAAATAGTTTATCTTTTCTTTATTGATTTGACATGCCACCTTTGTCATGTCCTAAAATTTTCAAGGTATCTAAATCTGTTTCTGGACTTTTGTTCTCTCCCATTAGTCAGTTTGTCTGTTTATTCGTCAGTACTACATTGCTTTTGATTTCTGAGATTTTATATGTTTTAATGTCTTTATGACCCATTCTCCTTTTCAGAGTTTCTGCATTTTCTTCTTTTTCCTTTTTTTTTTTTTTTTTTTTTTCCGAGCCAAGATCTCACTCTGTCATCCAGGCTGGAATGCAGTGGTGTAATCACAGTTCACTGCAGCTGCCTCGACCTCCTCAGGCTCAGGTAATCCTCCCACCTCAACCTCCTGAGTAGCTGGAATTACAGGCACACACCACCAAGCCTGGATAATTATTTTATATTTTGTAGAGATGAGGTCTCACTATGTTGCTGAGGCTGGTCTTGAACTCCTGGGCTCAAGCAATTCACCTACTTCAGCCTCCCCAAGTTCTAGAATTACAGATGTGAGCTACCGTGCCTAGCCTGGCTTTTCTTTTTTTTTTTTTTTTTTTTTTTTTTTTGAGACTGAGTTTCGCTCTTGTTACCCAGGCTGGAGTGCAATGGCGCAATCTCGGCTCAATGCAACCTCCACCTCCTGGGTTCAGGCAATTCTCCTGCCCTAGCCTCCTGAGTCGCTGGGATTACAGGCACGCACCACCATGCCCAGCTAATTTTTTGTATTTTTAGTAGAGACGGGGTTTTACCATGTTGACCAGGATGGTCTCGATCTCTTGACCTGGTGATCCACCCGCCTCGGCCTCCCACAGTGCTGGGATTACAGGCTTGAGCCACCGCACCCGGCCAAGCCTGGCTTTCCTTTCTTACACTTTTCCATATGAATAGTAGAATAACCTTATGTAATTTTTAAAAACCAGCTTTTGTTTTTATTGAGATCATGTCCAACTTATGAGTTAATTAGAGGAGAATTGACATCTTTATGATGTTGTTTTCGTGTCTAAGAATATGGTATGACATTTTATATGTTCCAGTATTTTTTGTACCCTTTGGAAATGTTTTAAACTATTCTTTATATGTGTTGTACACATCTGTTGTTAAATTTATTTGTTTTTGTTGCTATTATTTATTGGGGCCTTTTTCTCATATCTCTAACTGCTTTATATAAAACTATTGATTTTTGGCTGGGCGCAGTGGCCCATGCCTGTAATCCCTGCACTTTGGGAGGCCGAGGCGGGCGGATCACGAGGTCAGGAGATGGAGACCATCCTGGCCAACATGGTGAAACCCCGTCTCTACTAAAAATACAAAAAAAATTAGTTGGGTGTGGTGGTGCATGCCTGTAGTCCCAGCTACTCAGGAGGCTGAGGCAGGAGAATTGCTTAAACCCAGGAGGTAGACATTGCAGTGAGCTGAGATCATGCCACTGCACTACTGCCTGGGCGACAGTGCAAAACTCCATTTCAAAAATTTATATGTTTATAAAATAATATATAAAAATCAATATGTTGATTTTTATATATTATTTTATATTCTGCCACCTTACTGAATTATTGTCTTTCTTTGTCTCATATGCTTTGCCTATTTTTTAAATGTTCCTGGTTTGTGGTTTTAGTCTATTTTATGAACATTATATTGTTATTAATCTTTATCACATATTTTATGTTTTTTCCAGTTTGTTGTCATTATTATTAATGTTATATATTGGAGATTCTTGAAGAGATGACCCATTCTTCCTCATTACTATAAGATAAACTTTTTTTGTTTTCTGATTATTTACACTGCTAATAATTATTTATTATGTTTATTTACAATATATGCTGAAGTGCTAACTTTTCATCAGACCCATCCAAGTCTGTTCATCTATTCACTCAGTTATATACTCATTATATAATACACTCAGTTAAACACTCAGTTATATACTCAACACATACTGATTGTCTGCTATGTGCCTGGCATGGTTTTTGTTACTGAGGATGGATAGGGGACACTTATTTAGCTTTTGTTTTATTTGTGCCTTACTTTGTAGGAGTTCCACTATATAGAAGAAGATCTTTATCGAACAAAGAATACATTGCAAAGCAGAATTAAAGATCGAGAAGAAGAAATTCAAAAACTCAGGAATCAGGTATGAATCACTATTCACAACTTGTGAGAAGATGCCACTGAAAAGCTACATTTAAAAAAAAAAAAGTTGCAGTAAGACCTTTCCCATGTTTTCACCTGAGTTCTGTTGTAACAGTAGTGACATAAGTTACTTTCAACCTGGTGTAGAAATTTCATCTAATGCCATTTGAGTCTACATTTCCTCTGTTCTATAATTTGCTTCTTATAGAAGTATCTTGTAGCCAAAGTCACCAAGTAGATGAGAATTACCCTGAAATTTCAGACCTTTTGACATCAGTGTGGTTGCACTGATTGCCAGTTTTATAATTGTGATTTCATTTTCCTAAGAAAAATCTTATGACAAGTCTTCCTATTAATGATGAGTCTTTCATAAAGTCACCCAGATCTTTTTTTAACCTTGAAAATGTAAAACATACAGAAAATAATGACACTCATGTGCCTACCGCCCAGATTTACCAAAGCCGTTATCATTAACTGATAGACTCATGCATTCACGTTCCCTGTAATTGTAGTTGTCCTTTCCTCCCGCATACTTAGATGATTGACTTAATAGACTACTAATCATTTAAATAATTTACATAAAGATTTATTCTTTATTTTTTAGTTAATGACTTAGTTTGAACTATGAAAAGTCAAATAATTTTGGTTTTTTAAGTTTCCAGACTTGGAAAGCAGTACAGTAGTCCATAATTTTAAATGTTTTGAAATATTTCGTCTTAACTTTTGTGAAGAATTGAGAACAGCTCACTGATTTGAGCATTCCCTTCCCCTTCCCTTGCCTGTTTGTGAAATACTTACAAATGGTGATGTGATGTGCTAACAGAAAGTCAAAAGAAGGAGCAAAAAACCACCAATTGGTTTAATCCTTAAACATTTCTATACTTACTAATTATTATTGGGTACCTACTGTGTCTGAAGTATTGCACTATTTTTGTTAATCAAAACTTAGGCCAGGTGAGGTAGTTCATGCTTAAAATCCCAGCACTTTGGGAGATTGAGGCAGGAAGACCTCTTGAACTCAGAAGTTTGAGACCAGCCTGGGCAACATAGTGAGACCTTACAAACAATTAGTCCGGCATGGTGGCACACACCTGCAGTCCCAGCTACTCAGAGGCTGATGTGGGAAGGATCACTTGAGCCTGGGAGGTCAAGGCTGCAGTGAGCCATGAGTGCACCACTGTACTCCAGCTTGAGCGACAGAGTAAGACCCTGTCTTAAAAAAAAAAAAAAAAATTAACCATAGGGTGGCTCTTGACTGTAGTCCTAACTACTTGGGAAGCTGAGGCAGGGAGGGAAATCATTTGTGATCAGGAGCTCAAGACCAGACTGGGCAACATAGCGAGACCCTCATCTCTAAAAAAAATTTTTTTAATTAGTTGGACATGGTGGCACGTACCTGTAAGTACCAGCCACTTTGGAGGCTAAGACATGAGAATCACTTGAGCCCAGGAGTTAAGGCTGCAGTGAGCTATAATCACCTCACTGTACTGTAGCCTGGGCAACAGAGAGAGACACTGTTTCTTGAAAAGAAAGAATTAACCATAGGAGGAATTCTCTTCAAGGTTTTTTGTCACGTTAGAAGAGAGCAAAACTTTTGTCCCATAGAATTAAGTTGACTTGTACAATTTGAAAAGAGATCATCATCTTAATAAATTGCCAAAAAAAAAAAAATCACACAATTAGAGTTAAGATTTATTCTGAATGGACAATAAATAATTATGTTTATCTTATTACTTTTGGATTTTCTGCATGTAGGTTAAAAGAAATAGGTTACCAGTTTGAATATTTTTTTATTTTTCACACCTGTAATCCCAGCACTTTGGAAGGCCAAGGTGGGCAGATCACTTGAGGCCAGGAATTCAAGACCAGCCAGGCCAACATAGCAAAACCCTGTTTTTATTGAAAATACAAAAAAATGAGCTGGGCATGGTGGTGCATACCTGTAATCCCAGCTACTTGTGAGGCTGAGGCAGGAGAATCACTTAAACCCAGAAGGCAGAGGTTGCAGTGAGCCAAGATTGTGCCACTGCACTCCAGCCTGGGTCACAGAGCCAAACTCTGTCTCAAAAAAAAAAAAAAAGAAAGAAAATTGTTGCATGGGAGTAGATGAAAACATACAGAGAAAAAAATGAACCTTTATTCTTATCCCCTAATTAGACTTGTAAAGTTAGCAAAAATTAATTTGGGATGAAGCTAAGCCTAAGCTATAAAACTTCTATGAGAAAGTATTGGAGAATCTTTTTGCGATTTTGAGGATGACAGATTTCTTAGAAAAGACACAAAAAGCACTAACTGTACAGGAAAATGATAAATTGCTATTCATCGAAATTAAAATTTCCTTCTCATCAAAAGATATCATTTCAAAAGTGAAAACAGGTAAGCTACAGACTGGGAGATAATATTTACTTGTCTCTCTCTATATATATCTGGTAAAGGGTTTATAACCAGGATAAGAACTCTTAATAATAAGGTGCATAGCCATTTCTTTTAAATAGGTAAAGACTTGAATAGACCTTTCCAAAAGTGAGATAAAAGCACACCTTATTTTATTGCACTTCTTTTTTTTTTTTGAGACGGAGTTTCACTCTTGTTACCCAGGCTGGAGTGCATTGGCGCGATCTCAGCTCACCGCAACCTCCGCCTCCCGGGTTCAGGCAATTCTCCTGCCTCAGCCTCCTGAGTAGTTGGGATTACAGGCATGCGCCACCATGCCCAGCTAATTTTTTGTATTTTTAGTAGAGACGGGGTTTCACCATGTTGACCAGGATGGTCTCGATCTCTTGACCTCGTGATCCACCCGCCTCGGTCTCCCAGAGTGCTGGGATTACAGGCGTGAGCCACCGCGCCCGGCTGCACTTCTCTTTATTGCAGTTCACACATATTGCATTTTTAACAAATTGAAAGTGTGTGGCAACCCTGCATCAGTCAAGTCTATCCACACCATTTTTCCAACAGCATGTGCTCACTTCATGTCTGTGTCACATTTTGGTAATTCTCACAATATTTCAGATTTCTTATTATATCTGTTGTGGTGATCTATGATCAGTGACTTTTTATGTAACTATTGTAATTGTTTTTGGGGCACCATGAACTGCACCATGTAAGACAGTGAACTTAATCCATAAATGTGTGTGTTGTGATAGCTCCATCAACTGGCCATTCCCACATCTCTCTCCCTCTCCTCAGGCCTTCCTATTCTTTGAGACACAGCAATGTTGAATTAGGCAACTAATAAGCCTACAGTGACCTCTAAGTGTTCAAGTAAAAGGAAGAATCACATGGCTCTCACATTAAGTCAAAAGCTAGAAATGATTAAGCTTAGTGAGGAAGGCATGTCTAAAGGCAAGATAGGCTGAAAACTAGGCCCGTTACGCCAGTCAGCCAAGTTTTAAATGCAAAGGAAAAGTTCTTGAAGGAAATTAAAAGTGCTGCTCTAGTGAACACACGAATGATAAGAAAGCCAAACAGCCTTATTGCTGACAAGGAGAAACTTTGTGGTATGGAAAGATCAAACCAGCTACAACATTCCTTTAAGCCAAAGCCTAATCTGGATCAAGGCCCTAACTCTCTTCAATTCTGTGAAGTCTGAGAGAGTTGAGGAAGCTGCAAAAGAGAAGTTTGAAGCTAGCAGAGGTTGGGTTTATGAAGTATAAGGAAAGAAGCCATCTCCCAAATGTAAAAATGCAAAGTGAAGCAGCAGTGAAGAAACTGCTGCAAGTTATCTGGAAGATCTAGCTAAGATCATTAATGAAAATGGCTCCACCAGCCAGGCGTGGTGGCTCATGCCTGTAATCCCAACACTTTGGGAGGACAAGGCAGACAGATCACGAGGTCCAGAGATTGAGACCATCCTAGCCACATGGTGAAACTCTGTCTCTACTAAAAATACAAAAATTAGCTGGGTGTGGTGGCGTGCGCCTGTAATCCCAGCTACTCAGGAGGCTGAGGCAGGAGAATTGCTTGAACCAGGGAAGCAGAGGTTGCAGTGAGCCAAGATCATGCCATTGCATTCTAGCCTGGCAACAGAGTGAGACTTGGTATAAAAAAAAAAAAAAAAAAAAAAAGAAAGAAAGAAAATGGCTGCACTAAGTAACAGGGTTTTTTTTTTTTTTTTTTTTTTTTGAGACGGGGTTTCACTCATGTTACCCAGGCTGGAGTGCAATGGCGCGATCTCGGCTCACCGTAACCTCCGCCTCCTGGGTTCAGGCAGTTCTCCTGCCTCAGCCTCCTGAGTAGCTGGGATTACAGGCACGCACCACCATGCCCAGCTAATTTTTTGTATTTTTAGTAGAGACGGGGTTTCACCATGTTGACCAGGATGGTCTCGATCTCTTGACCTCGTGATCCACCTGCCTCGGCCTCCCAAAGTGCTGGGATTACAGGCTTGAGCCACCGGCTCAAGGTTTTTAATGCCCGGCAGTAACAGGTTTTTAATGTAGATGAAACAGCCTTCTATTAGAAGAAAATGTTATCTAGGACTTTCATACCTGGTGAGGAGAAGTCAGTGCCTGGATTCAAGCTTCAAAGGACAGACTGACTCTCTTGTTAGGGGCTAATGCTGCTGGTGACTTTAAGTTAAAGCCAGTGCTCGTTTACAATTCTGAAAATCCTAAGACCCTTAAGAATGATGCTAAATCTGTGCTGCCTGTGCTCTGTAAAGGGAACAGCAAAGCCTGGATGACAGCACATCTGTTCATAGCGTGGTTTACTGAGTATTTTAAGCTCACTGTTGAGACCTGCTGCTCAAAATAAAAGATTCCTTTTAAAATGTTACTACTTATTGACAATACTCCTGGTCACCCAAGAGCTCTAATAGAGCTATACAAGGAGATTAATATTGTTTTCATACCTGCTAATACAATATCCATTTGACAGCCCAAGGTATAATTTTGACTTTCAAATCTCAATTAAATTAATTATTTTTATTTTTTGAGACAGAGTCTCATTCTGTTGCCCAGGCTGAAGTATAGTGGCCTGATCTCAGCTCACTGCAACTGGGTTGTCTGTCTCCTGGGTTCACGCAATTTAATATCACTAAATGCCATGTGCAACAGGTGCTGTTACCTTCACTTACAGATGAGGAAACAGATTCAGAGAAGTGTAGCAATTTATCTAAAGTCAAATAGCTTGAAAATTACAGAGCAGAGATGAAAACCTCAGGGTGTGATCTTTGCACTGCAGTGTAACTGTTAAATTATGGAGGCTTTTGAATCCTGTTGAAAAGCATGGACTGTGTCCTCTAAATGCATGCTTTGAAATATTTTCACCATGATGCCTCAGTGAGAAATACAGTTTACATCATGTCTCAATACTCACATGTACTTACATGTACAAAACCAAAACAGGAGTTTCAAAAAATTGTACCCTCACATACTATGTGTTATATAAATATCAGAATGTGTCCCATTCTATTCTATCTTTTTCAGTGCTGATTTTGACCTACCAAATTGATTTCGTGACCCCACTGTTTTTAAAAATCACTTCTGTAGACATTGAGTCAGTATATTTTGAGAAATCAATTAATGCCACAATTTACCTATGAAAATATAGTAGTATGATTTCTGTATTATATGACTTTCATTTTACGTAATAATTTTGTGAACACTTTTCTTTCAGCTTACCAATAAAGCTTTAAGCAATAGCAGTCAGTCTGAGTTAGAAAATCGACTTCATCAGCTAACAGAGACTCTCATCCAGAAGCAGACCATGCTGGAGAGCCTCAGCACAGAAAAGAACTCGCTAGTCTTTCAACTGGAGCGCCTTGAGCAGCAGATGAACTCTGCCTCTGGAAGTAGTAGTAATGGATCTTCGATCAATATGTCTGGAATTGACAATGGTGAAGGTAACTGACCAAAAAAAGGAATCTCAAAAGAACATTTCATTCAAACATAGTTTTGAAAAATTACAGAAAGGTCATTTTTATTTGAAAGAGACTTCATCCAATGAAGGACTCAATTTTTTGATATGAGACCTGGGCCATGTACTATTTAGTATTGTCGTTAGTGAACCAGATAATGGTATTCCTCACTGGTATTAGACTTGGGGAAAATAGTCTGAGGACTGATAATCATATTGAAATGTGTAAGATACTTAACAAGATAATGCTGGCAAGGTGAGAAGTTCAGCATAGAGGAGTTTTCAGGACACTTGAAGCAATATTTGCTTTAATAATCTTCCAGCAAATAGGAGTATTAGAGCTAATACATAGTTCACATAACTGTAACTGTGCGCTATAATTTTAATAAAGAAATCTATAGATTCCCAATGTACATAATAAAAAATAATTGTAAGATAATATAAACATCAACAGGTCAGATTTTTAATCTTAGAACTTCATAAAGTCTACAGATTGTCACTCAGCAAATTTCTCAGTTCTTTGGCTTTAAATTATTTCTTTTAATAAAAAAAAGTTTAAGACATACTGGGTACCAGGTATGGGGATGGCATTGTAATTTAAATAGGGTGGTCAAGGAAGACCTCATTGAAAAGTATAACCTATATTGAAAAGTCCCAGAGAAGGTTATATAGCGAACAATGAGGAGGCATAGAAGAAAAGTGTTCCAGGCAGAAAGATGAGCAGGCACAAAGGCCCTGAGGCAGGCATGTTCCTGGCGTGTTTCAGGAACAGCAAGAAGGCCAGGGCCTGCGGAGTAGACTGAGTGAAGAAGACACTTATGTAAGATGAATCCAGAGAGCTTGGAGTAGGTTGTTGAGGCCTGTATGGGGACTTTTACCCTGAATGAGGTAGGAAGCCGTTGAAGGATCTTGAGACAGGGGACTGATCTGACTTGCATTTTACTAGGCTGCCTGTAACTGCTGTATCAAGAATAGACTGCAAAGGGCTAAAAGTGGAAGCAGGGAGACAGGGTAAGAGGGGGCCAGAGATGGGTGGGTAACCATTACAGTAAACATGTGAGAGATGGTGGTCTAGAACTGAGTGGGATTGTGAGAGTGGACTGAGAATTTATTTTAAAGGTGAGCTGACAGAATATGCTGGCAGATTGAATATGGAGTTTGAGAGAAAGGAGTCAAGGGTTTTGGCCTGAGCAGATGGAAAGATTGGAATTGTGATGTCCTGGAGACAAGGAAATGGCAGCTGACACAGGTTGACAGCGAGGGCAAGAACTCAGAATCATAGTGTTAGACAGGCTTTGGGGTGCCCATTAGACATCCAGATGGAAGCAAATAGGCAGTTGGATGAGTCTGGCAGGGGATGAAGCCTCTGGGCTGGAGTACAAATTTGGGAGTCCTCAGCTTCATAGAAAGGCCACCTGCCTCACTCCTCCTCACACAGGAACAGAGCGCTCATTAATATCGACTCTTGTCAATGCTCACTATTTGTAAACTTCTTAATTATTGCTAAAATCATTTTCTTAGGTTAAAATTTTTTCTTGTTGTGGATATGGACGTTTGAACATTTATGTAATCAAATTTACCTGTCCTTTTTTTAATGGTTTTATCTACTTTGGGGTGATGCTGAGAAAGTTGGCCTTGAAAATTGCTTCCACATGTAATACAATGTATTTCCAATTATAATTGTCTTAGAAAGTTAATTTTTGTGTCACGACATTAATTTATTTTCTTATTTAAACAGGCACTCGTCTGCGAAATGTTCCTGTTCTTTTTAATGACACAGAAACTAATCTGGCAGGAATGTACGGAAAAGTTCGCAAAGCTGCTAGTTCAATTGATCAGTTTAGGTAAGCAGCGCCAGTAGGGCTAAGTGATGGGCCGTCAGCTGTTTTCACATTTGCCAGGGTTTCAATCATAGTGAGTCCCATCAGACAGAGTCTGTATTGAAAGTGACTTACTTCTTCCATGATACTTTACACTTATATACACTTTTCTTTATTTTACAGTTATCTTACACTTTCATAAAGGGACTTACTCTTTTCATGGTATTTCAATGTCATGAAATTACTTCAAGAAATCTACCATTGCCTACATTTTATTGAAGATGATTAACCCTGACTGTATCTCTTCTTTCTATAATACATTCTGTTTTTAGAAACTTCATTAAATTTTGTTAAGAAAGCTTCTACTTCAGATAAAAGTATCCATTTGAATGTTTATCCCAGATCTTTATCATGTGATTAGAATAAAAGATGCTACTATATATAACTGAACAGTACTCATTTTGTTGTATATTTTATATGCATATTACATAAATAACATAAAATTTGTTATGTTTATATGTAAATTTTTTATATTAGCAGACATCTGCCTTATCAAGAAAATATTTTGATAGTTATGTATAGCCTTGGTAAGGCTCTTGTCTAGATAACCTATACCCTTTTTCTTTGTAGTGTTTATAATGAAAAGTTTTAATGAACTGTGACATAATAATCTTTGTACCTTTTGTGTCAGAATTGAGCCATTGTGTTAAAAGTAAGAAGAAAAAGCCTCAGAACTAGGATGCCATAGGCTAAATTATCTCCAAATTAAGCACATCTAGTTCAACTATTCATTTATTCAACATTCATAGTTGTTAGAGAACCTATGTGTAAGACATGGTGCTAGTGGCAATGAAAGAAGCAGAAAGGCATATTTGCTTCTACAGGTATCTGTCTTGATAGGAAAAAAACATTGCAGAGGCATAGTAGGTCTGGACATCATAATGCTTCCACACTATTTATTCAAATGCATGAGTTTTTATAGCCTTGTACCTTTTAGAAGCACGTATCTATACAAAAGCTTCCAGATTTGCTATTTGCAGGTTAATACCAACCAGAATCTTTTCTCCCCCATTCACATAGTTGACAACCACCTTATCTTTTGTAACTTCTTTAATTTTGTTAAAAAAAATATTTAGACCACTGGCTCATGCCTGTAATCCCAGCACTTTGGGAGGCTGAGGCAAGCAGACTGCCTGAGGTCAGGAGTTTGAGAGCAGCCTGGCTAACATGGTGAAATCCTGTCTCTACTAAAAATACAAAACAATTAGCCGGGTGTGGTGGTGGCATGCCTGTAATCCCAGCTACTTGAGAGGCTGAGGCTGGAGAATCTCTTGAACCCAGGAGGCAGAGGTTGCAGTCAGTGGAGATTGCGCCATTGCACTCGAGCCTGGGCAACAAGAGCAAAACTTCCATCTCAAATAAAAAATAAAAATTAAAAAAATAAAAAAGATTTACAGAGGGATCAAGTTTGCCTCCTACACTGTGGTGATAGAATGAAGAGAAATACCTCTGCTGAAGCTTAGTAGCCAAGCCCCAAATAATGATAAAAGCATTTGTTTACCTCTGTGACATTTCTATATTATTATTTCAAGTAATTGTTTAGCAGTCTACTATAAAAATCATTCTTCTGTGGTAACCACATAAATAGTTTAAGTGAGTGGAATTTATCAGCATCGTTAGATATTACCACAGGAAGATTTGTTTTGAATGTGACTCTCTTCTCCTCTCTTCCCTACACCTATGTCTGCACAGTATTCGTCTGGGAATTTTCCTCCGAAGATACCCCGTAGCACGAGTTTTTGTAATTATATACATGGTAAGTAAACTTGTTTGAAAAAACAGTGCTGCACTTGATTTTTAACTAGGTTTGTTTTTGCTGCTGATCTTATCGATGTTTTAGCAATAATTTTTTTTTTTTTAAACAAGGTCTGGCTCTTTTGCCCAGGCTGGAGTGCGGTGGTGTGATCTTGGCTCACTGCAAACTCTACCTTCCGGGCTTAAGCCATTCTTCCACCTTTGCCTCCCAGTAAGCTGGGACTACAGGCACATGGCACCATGCCCAGCTATTTGTATTTTTTGTAGAGATGGGCTTTCACCATGTTGCCCAGGCTGGTCTCAAACTCCTGGGCTCAAGTGATCCTCCTACCTTAGCCTCCCAAGATACTGGGATTACAGGTGTGCACCATTGCACCCAGCCAGCAGTCAATTTTGAAAGAGAGAACTCATTTTTAGTAATTAAGTCGGTAGATTATAAATTTATAATTCATTATGTCTAGAATATAAATTCCTCAAACGCTTTTCCTACAAATAAAATTAACTTAAATTCAGTCTAATAATTACCTCCATTTTAAAACCCTTCTAATGATAAAACAATTTCAATACAAAACAATTTTTTATCTTGATGTTGTAAAGTTGCTTTAATTATTTTTATGTGTTTTTCTTTATTTTCTAGAAGAGTCTCAAGGTTGATTTACTTTCTCCCAGATTTCTTAGCTCTAGTAAAATGGTTACAGTAGTTTGGGATGCTATTTTGCATGTACTGTGTGCCTAAGAAGGCTACTAATTATTTGGAGTAGGTATGTCTAAAAGTAGTTGGGTTGAATTAAGATGGGCTGTTTTCTTTAAAAAGAAATTTCTCTATGATCCACTAGAGGGAAGAGTTATTACTTTAAATAACAAGGTTTTGTGCTTTTTTTTTTTTTTTTTTTTTTTGTCCTGAGACTGAGTCTCACTCTGTCACCCAGGCTGGAGTGCAGTGGCACAATCTTGGCTCACTATAATCTCTGTCTCACGGGTTCGAGCAGTTCTCCCACCTCAGCCTCCCAAGTAGCTGGGGCTACAGGCATGCGCCACTGCACCCAACGAATTTTTGTATTTTTAGTAGAGATTTGAATTTTTAGTAGGGTTTTCACTATGTTGGCCAAGCTGGTCTCGGAACTCCTGACCTCAAGTGATCTGCCCACCTCGGCCTCCCAAAGTGCTGGTATTACAGGCCTGAGCCACTGTGCCTGGCTTAATAACAAGTTTTTAAGAAGGAAAGAGTAGGGAGAACAACAGCAAAAAAAATTGATTGGCATCAGAAAGCATTCAGAATATGCCCTGGAGGGGTTGATTTCCCAGGTGTTAGTGATTATGAGTAACATGGGCACTGTCTGTCATGAGATAGTGCCCATGAGATGTGATTTCTGGCACACTACAAAGTGGTGAGGCACTTAGTGATGGAATCTCATATCATTTCAGTACTACCATGAGGGAATTAAATTTGTCACTGGGGATTGTGTTCTGGGCCCTGCGTCAGCCTCTGAAAGCTGACACATTATTCTTGTCTAGAATATTTTCCCATCTCTTCTTCATCGAACGTTGGTTAAACTCCCTTTCAAAATACTAACCATAACTCTGTTCTAAAAATGTTTTCTAACCAACTTCATGTATACCTAACAGTTTTAATCACTTTGCATTGTAATCACCTGACTGGTTATTTTGCTTACATGTGCATATTATGAATCTGTTGAAGTGGAGGGCTTACTCCTCTCAACTGAATTCTGTAGGAGTAGCGACTCTGTATTACCCTCCATTGCACTAAGCTCATCTAGATGTTTCTTTCATTCCTTCCTTCATGTGCCCCATAAGGGATATAGAGGCAGATAAGACACAGTGCCTGCCCTTAGTGTGCAGTGGGCCTTTGATGAAGATTGGTTTATTGGCTAATCCACAAATTACTTTTTCTTTGTCTAGGCTTTGCTTCACCTCTGGGTCATGATTGTTCTATTGACTTATACACCAGAAATGCACCACGACCAACCGTACGGCAAATGAACCAAGCCTGTTGTTGCAGTGATTGGTTATCTTTTTCTAGACTTGGGATCTGCGAGAAGGCCAATTGCCTAACATTTCTGAGAACAGTGCACAGGATTACTTTATCACTACAGCTTTTAACTTTTTAAGTTATTATACAACTGTTCTGCTACCTAAATCTTCCTATTTCCTTTAAATGGTAAGAGTTCCCAAAACAGTAATTTCACAAGCTCAGCTCTGCTTTTCCTGAGTTCAGTGGTCCTAATATATATGTAGAGAAAGATGCTGGATTGTTCACCCCTGTACAGACCATCTGTATATTAGGTGACATTGATTATGGATTATAATCAGGGAAATTAATTGTATTTAGTGACAAAAATAAAACGTTTTCTTTTTTGATAATTCAGTCTGCTTTTGGATTTTCATATATTTAACTTTGCAAAGAAGATTTGCTTTGTACATGTTATAGGCCTGATTGATGTAAATCTTTTTATAAGTACCTAAATAAAAGAAAAATGTGCATTTTTCTTTTCTAAAATAATGGTTTTTCATCCCCATTAAACAAGACTTTTCCAGATGGACTTTAGTGAATAGAGCCAGACAGAAAGCAGCTGAAGTCGCTTGTGAGTAATTCTTAGTGTTTGCCACTTCTTCCCAATGGATGCTCCAGTCTTCCCCTTTCCATCCCCCTGTGCTGTCTTCCTTGGATTCTTATACACTCACTCATTGCCTTCCTCCTCCCGTTTTCCTTTTCTCCAGCCTATACATTGGATTAGCTCATGATACCCATATCTCCTGCTTGTAGCATTTAGGAATCAAATCTGCCTTAGCAACCTATGCTTTTATGAGGTACTCTTGTGTAGAGATATTCTTCGAAATGAGACATTTTCTTTGAAAATGTATTGTCTGTTTTACATTTGGTCCAATGTATTGTCTGGTTTGACTTTCATTTCATCTACATCTCTGAATCCCTTTTTTTCTTTTTTAAAGAGACAGGGTCTTACTCTGTCACCCAGGCTGGAGGTCAGTGGCACAATCATAGCTAGCTGCAGCCTTGAACTCTTGGGCTCAAGTGACCCTCCTGCTTTAGCCTTCCAAGTTGCTGGGATGACAGGCATGAGCTACCATACCCAGAACAGAGCAGTTTTAAATTTTGAGGTGTCCAGTTTGTCAGTTTTTAAATTATCTTGTTGATACTTTGTGTTTCTATCAAAGAAACCTTTGCCTAACCCAAGGTTACAAAGATTTTCTCCTGTCATTTCATCTAGAAATTTCATACTTTTAGGTTTTCTATTTAAGTCTACGATCCATGTTGAGTTAAATTTTATATCTATACATCCATGTTGATTTAAACTTTCTCTTTTTTTTTAATTTTTAGAGATGGGGTCTTACTTTGGCACCCAGGCCAGAGTGCAGGGGTATCGTCATCGCTCACTGCAGCCGCAAACTCCTGGGCTTAGGCAGCCCTTCCACCTCAGCCTCACAAGGAGCTGTGACCATAGGCATGCACCATCACGCCTGGCTAATCTATCTTTCTTTCTTTCTTTTTCTCTCTCTTTCTTTCTTTTTCTTTCTTTCTCGGTCTCTCTCTTTCTTTCTTTTTTCTCTTTTTCTCTTTCTTTTTCTTCTTTTCTTTCTTTCCTTCTCTCTCTCTCTTTTTTTTTTGAGACAGAGTCTCAGTATGTTGCCCAGATTGGTCTCAAACTCCTGGCCTCAAGAAGTCCTCCCACCTCGGCCTCCTAAAGTGTGATGATTACAAGCATAAGCCACTGCACCTGGCCCTACATGTCTGAATTCTTAGGTTGTTCTGTCACCCAGCTACTCTCTTCGTATATATGGGGAGCTTGGGCTGTGCAAGGGTGTAGTCCTTCCTTTCAGGAGGAGCATCTTGGAAGCAGTCTGCGTGGTGCCTCACTGAAAGCCTGACTGAAGTTTCTGTTCTTTAAATGTGTCTCCATCATGACTTTAATTCTCACAGAAGCCCTATAAATCCTTCAGAAGTTCTGGCACATTATTAGATGTGTATGTTTATTATTTTTCATCAGAAAATGAAGTTTTAAAGGTCATCTTAGGTGTGTGTGAGCTTTTTTTTTCAACTTGGCATGGGTGAAAAAGGCAGAAATCTCCCCATCCTATGAAAGCAGATGTTGGAGTTGGAGGTAGAGGCACAGGACTAAGTCTGTCTAGGACTTACGGCACAGTCTTACTCAGCTGTGTTAGCCCATCGCTATATAAGCTGTCAAGTTCATGGCTGCTCTCAAACAGAGTAAAGTAATAGTCTTGTGAATACATCTTATTTTATTTTTGAGACAGAGTCTCACACTGTCATCTAGGCTGGAGTGCAGTGGCGTCATCTCAGCTCACTGCACCTTCCGCCTCCTGGGTTCAAGCGATTCTCATGCCTCAGCTTCCCGAGTAGCTGGGATTACAGGCATGTGCCACCACACCCAGCTAATTTTTGTATTTCTAGTAGAGCTGGGGTTTCACCATGTTGGCCAGGCTGGTCTCGAACTCCTGGCCTCAGGTGATCTGCCCACCTCGGCCTCCAAAAGCGTTGGGATTGCAGAAGAGAGTCACCACGCCTGGCCTTGTTAATATATCTTAAAGTTGTTCCCCACCGCCTTCTAATTTGGAAATACTTCTGGAAAATGATTAAAACCAGGTTACAAACTTAAAACAGAAACCAGCACGTGCTCCATCCTCATGTATTGCCAGACTTCCCGTCTCTGTGGATGTCCTCCTGGCTTTTGTTGAGATGTCTCTAGGTCCTTTGTTCAGTCTTTACACATTCTTGGCTTTGAAAATAGTTTGACAACGGGCTTCCGGGATTGTTTTCCTGCAGTTACTTAAATATTTAATTGGGTTTCAGTTTCAGGAAATCTTGACTGCTAACAAACTAGGCTGTTTTTTAAACTGCTACCATTCACTTATCCTCAGATGACACAAAACTTTCTTGACCTAATTAAAGGGGTTGCATGAGAGCAGAGTTTTTTCCTTCTCAAATCAATGTATTTATTAAAGACATTGTAAATATGCATGCATGTATTTACACATATATTATCAGAGCTATTGTACTGCTTTTTATTTATAGGTGTCAATTGCAAAATAAGATTATTTTAAAATTTCCCTTTCTCTAGACTTTGTGCTTACTGAAAAATACCATTTTTGGTCAGGCGTGCTAGCTCACACCTATAATCCTAGCACTTTGGGAGGCTGAGGCGGGAGGATCACTTGAGATCAGGAATTTTAAACCAGCTTGAGTAACAGAGTAAGACCTTGTCTATATTTTTTAAAAAAGAAAAAGAAAATGCCATATTTATTGCTATGGAACAGAAACTTCAAAGAAATAGCATGGATTGTATTAAGATATGGTGGAAGTAGGCTTTCCCTGTTAGCTCTGTAAATGAGGGAGTAGAATGGGTGGGGCAGTTCAGCTTTATCTGAAGACGAAGAGCCATCTCACCCTGTGGGGCAGGAGGTGGGAGCCACTTCAGTATGTCTTGCTGGACACCTGTTGCCTGCTGCAAGTGGCCAGCCGAGTGTTGGAAAAGGCCAGTATGGGCATCTTGGTCTGGTAGCAAGAAGGAAAGAACTGGTAAAGCCTAAAGACCTGAGGGACTTTAGGCTCTAATTGGCCAGAAAAAAGGAATACCTGAGAATGGTGTCCTAGTGGCTGTTCTGCACACATGGAGACTGATACTTTATTCCATTTCTTCCCTGAATGAGAAGAATATGAATGAAATGATTCTGAACTTCTATACTTTTTTCGTGGGGGTGGGGAGGAGGGAGGAAGGAGTCTCATTCTGTTACCCGGGCTGGAGTGCAGTGGCGGGATCTCAGCTCACTACAACCTCTGCCTCCCAGGTTCAAGCAATTCCCCCTGCCTCAGCCTCCCAAGTAGCTGGGATTATAGGTGTCCACCACCACACCCAGCTAATTTTTGTATTTTTTTAGTAGAGACAGGGTTTCACCATGTTGGCCAGGCTAGTCTCAAAATCCTGACCTCAGGTGATCCGCCCACCTCCCAAAGTGCTGGGATTACAGGCGTGAGCCACTGCACCCAACCCTGAACTTCCATACTTTAATCAGCGATCTGCTTTCCAGACACAATAAAAATACCTCAAAATAAGTAAAACTCTTTCGTAAGCACACTTGAGCATCAAACGTGCTACATATAGAAGGCTTATTTATAGATGTCTCAAGGAAAATGGATAGTGAAATAATTTTGTTTTAAACCACTCTAAGGCTGCAAAGTAATTTGCATTATGAGGACCCTTTGTACTGGCCACTTCTAGGAACTGGGGATAGAGTAGTCAACAAAGTCCGTGCCCCTGCAGAGCTTTCACTGAAGTGGGAAAGACGGACTCTAGACATCCACATAACACATCACTCAGTGTTAAGTGAGTGAAGAAAAATAAAATGGGGTTAAGGTATAGAGTAAGTTGGGGAGTAGCCAGCGAGCTTCTCTCTGTGGAGGTGGCAGGGCCCAAGTGAGGTCCTGGGCCATGCGAAATACAGGGTGGGCTTTCTAGGGAGTAGGTTCCGCGAGACACAAAGCCTCTGAATGGGCGTGTGCTTAGTGTGTTTGAGAACGGGACTGGCAGTGAGGCCAGAATGGCTGCAAGGGGACAAGTGGAGGGAGGAGGAGGGTAGAGCCAATCCTGTAGGGACTAGTAGGCCAACGTTAGGACTTTGTATAAAAATCGCTTTTTCTTTCTGTTTGGTAACCCCCTCTGCCCCTGAACCACTACCTTCTTTAAACAGGGAAAACCTTTAAAAAGCTATGTTTGGGTTCGGACACGGTGGCTCACGCCTGTAATCCCAGCACTTTGGGAGGCTGAGGTGGGCGGATCACGAGGTCAGGCGTTCAAGACCAGCCTGGCCACTATGGTGAAAACCTATCTCTACTAAAAATACAAAAAACAGCTGGGTGTGGTGATGGGCACCTGCAATCCCAGCTACTCAGGAGGTTGAGGCAGGAGAATCATTTGAACCTGGGAGGCAGAGATTGCAATGAGCCGAGATCATGCCATTGCACTCCAGCTTGGGCAACAGGGCGAGACTCGTCTAAAAAAAAAAAAAAAAATCTACGTTTGGGCATCTACAGACTATAGTTGCTCCACATGCAAATGCTGAAGAGCAATAATTCATTTTGTGGAGGTGAGAACAGGGTATACCTGAGGAGGTACTTTGCTACATACTAAGAACACTAAATCAGTGAAGTTATAGACTCCCCAAAAACTTTTGGTCTCCACCTTCACAGTCAACTCATCTTTGTTCAAGTCATGGACAAACCAAAAAATGAAGTCAAGAGTAGAGCCCTTCACGTCTGAAGGCAAACATCTTCCATCCTTCCACCAGCCTTAGCGTGACTCACTGCCTGGCATCACCACTTTCATGCTGCCAGAGCTCATCAGCTGAAATGTCTTTTGATCCCTTGAGGGGAATGGCGTTACTTTTTTAGCCACTGTTGTATCCCCACTGCCTAGAACAGTGTCTGGCACATAATTGGCCTGCTTTTGACGTTCACTGAACTTCACCGACTGAATCAGGCAAAGCATGAAGCTCAGGCATGAGCCTTTACAGCTTCCTAGACCTTCACTCTGCATCTATTATACAGCTCATCTGGTTTCTGAAACCAGAGCAAAGCAGAGAAATTGTAAGTGGCCAGGTATGTTGACAATTGTGTGGATTTAGATTGAGCAGTGCGGCAGGGCTTCCCCGCAAATTGGGAAAGCCATAAGAATTAACAGCAAAATATGACCTGAAGATATTGCTGGCCATAGATGTTCATAGTTGTGTTCGTCTGTTTTGGCTGCTATAACAAAATAACGTAGACTGAGTGGCTTATAAACAACACAGGTTTACTTCTCACAGTTCTGGAGACTGGGAAGTCCAAGATGAAGGCATCAGCAGATTTGGGGTCTACTGAGGGTCCCCTTCCTCCCAGGCAGTCTTCTTACTATAACCCTACATGGCAGAAGGGGTGAGAGATCTCCCTGGGGCCTCTTTTATGGGCACTTATACCATTCATAATCCATCCTCAGGAGCTAATCATTTCCAAAGGCACCACCTCCAAATAAACTTAACTACTAGCAATTTGCTTTAATTCATAAATATGGCATAAGTCGCGAATCAAAGAATTAATTACAACTTACGTAATCAGGACTAGAACACGTATTCTCAACATAGGTAGTGTTACCCCCAAGGGGGTTAAATTTCCTAGGAGGGCAAAGATACCTTACTGTTTTTATATATAAAGACCCCAGATGTGCATGTAGTATGTAACAGTATATCTGTGGTATTAGGATTGTATGCCTGGGTGGGGCACAGTGGCTCATGCCTATAATCCCACCGCTTTGGGAGGCCAGGACTGGCAGATTGATTGAGCTCAGGAGTTCACAACCAGCCTGTGCAGCATGGTGAAACCTCATCTTTAGAGAAAATATAAAAGTAAGCCGGTGGTGGTGGCATGCATCTGTAGTCCCAGCTACTCAGTAGGCTGAGGTGGGAGGATTACTTGAGCCTAGGAAGTTGAGGCTGTAGTGAGCTATGATCATGCCACTGCACTCCAGCCTGGACAACAGAGCAAAGCCACCCTGTCTCAAAAAAATAAAAAAAAGATTGTATAGGGGTGGTAATAAGGAAAAAAATGTTGAGAAACACTGGGCTAGAATGATAAGGCAGGGAGACTTATTTCCTGCCCTAATGGAGCTTGCATTCTAATAAATGAAACTGGTTTTTTATTAAATTTTTAAATTGGGGCCGGGCGCGGTGGCTCAAGCCTGTAATCCCAGCACTTTGGGAGGCCGAGGCGGGTGGATCACGAGGTCAAGAGATCGAGACCATCCTGGTCAACATGGTGAAACCCCGTCTCTACGAAAAAATACAAAAAATTAGCTGGGCATGTTGGCACGTGCCTGTAATCCCGGCTACTCAGGAGGCTGAGGCAGGAGAATTGCCTGAACCCAGGAGGCGGAGGTTGTGGTGAGCCGAGATCGCGCCATTGCACTCCAGCCTGGGTAACAAGAGCGAAACTCTGTCTCAAAAAAAAAAAAAAAAAAAAAAAAAATTTTTAAATTGACACAGAACAGACATATTTTTGGGGTACATGTGATAATACATTTATATAATTTGTAAAGATTAAATTAGTGTCATTGGGATATCCATCACCTTAATTATTTGTCTTTATGCTAGAAATATTCTAAATATTTTCTTCTAGCCATTTTAAAATGTAAAATAGATTATTGTGAACTATAGTCGCCCTATGGATTTATCAAACAGTGGGTCTTATTCCGTCAACTGTGTATTTGCACCCATTAATTGGCCTCTCTTTATTCCTTCCTCCCCACCACCTTTACTGGTCTCTGGAAACTACCATTCCACTCTCTATCTTCATGAGATCCAAGGGTTTTTTTTTGTTGTTGTTGTTGTTGTTGTTTTTGAGACAGAGTCTTGCTCTTTGCTCTTTCGCCAGGTGCCAGGCTGGAGTGCAGTGGTGTGATCTGGGCTCACTGCAACCTCCACCTCCCGGCTTCAAGCAATTCTCCTGCCTCAGCCTCCCGAATAGCTGGGACTACAGGTGAGCGCCATCATGCCCAGCTAATTTTTGTATTTTAGTAGAGACAGGGTTTCACTATGTTGGCCCGGGTGGTCTTGATCTCTTGACCTCGTGATCCACCCGCCTTGGCCTCCCAAACTGCTGGGATTACAGGCATGAGCCACCACGCCCAGCCACGACATCCAAGGTTTTTACCTCCCACATGAGTCAGTACATGCAACATTTATCTTTCTGTACTTGGTTTATCTCACTTAACATAATGACCTCCAGTTTCATCCATGTTGCTACAAATGACAGGATTTCATTCTTTTTATGGCTGAGTAATATTCCATTGTATGTATATGCCACATTTTCTTTATCCTTTCATCCATAAATAATAGGCATTTAGGTTGATTCTATATTTTGGCTATTGTGAAGAAGAAACTGGTTTTAAAGTCATGCATGACCTGGCCTTCACTGTCCCATGAGTTTCAAGCCACTCCCCACATCTCATTCCACCCACAGCTCTTGACCCCTGTGCTAGTCTGTTACTGTTCTGATTATTCACTGCCTCTTCCTATGGGAGGATTTGACTTCCTGTCCCACTGATGTCAGCCTTGGCCACATGACCTGACTTGCTTTGACTCATCAGCCAGATACTAGTAGTGAAATATTAGTGGAAGAGACATGTTCCCTTCCTCAGCAGAAGCTTTAAGAGTCATCTGTGGCTTTGACACCTAACTCATTCCTCCTTCATGAGTTTAGCATGTCCCAGATAGGGGCTGTCCTTCAGCCTAGGCCCTGCAACGAAGCGTCATGGAGTGGAGCAAAACATAAAACATGTCCACAGTGGACATGTGGCTTGAATGAAAAGTAAATCTTTGCTTTTGTGGGTTCCTGAAATTTAGGAGGAATAGCTAGCAATAGCTGACTAGTGTGTCCACCAGTGCATTAGCCAAGCTTTCTCCCTACTTCCAGACCTACCCTTCTTGGCTCTTGTCCCCTCCTGATGTCAGCATAGATGCAACTTTGTGAAATCAGAACTCCTTCTTTCCCTGCAAAAAGAAAAAAATACTAGCCTAGGTGCTAGTAGGCAGAATAATGCTCCCCACAAAGACGACTGTGCCCTCATCACTGAAACCTGTAAATATGTCATCTTAGAGGGCAAAGTTGGTGTTGCAGATACGGTTAAGGGTCACAAAATATGGAGATTATCCTGAATTACCCCACAGGGATCCTTAAAAGATGGAAAAGGAAGCAGAAGAATCAGAGAAGATGAGGCAGTGGAAGCAGAGGTTACAGCAATGCCGTTCTTGGCTTTGAAGGCAGAGGAAGGAAGGGGCTCTGAGCCACAGACTACAGGAAGCCTCTAGAAGCTGAAAAAGGTGAGGAAACAGATTCTCCCCTAAAGCCTTTGAAAAGAAATGCAGTCCTGCTGACACCTTGATTTTAGCCCAGTGAGACCCGCTCCAGACTTCTGATCTCTAGAAATGCAGGAGAATACATTTGTGTTGTTTTAAGCCTCTAAGCTTGTGGTAATTTGTTACAGCAGCCATAGAATATGGGCGTGGCATCCCTCCCTGGCGAGGAGCTCCCAGAGCACCCTCATCACAGTCCTTGTGCTTCACAGGGTTGTGTCTTCACTTCTCCCCGGCCAGCTGGACTCCAAGCTTGACCTTTCTACACTTCCACGGTTGTCTCTTCAGAGCCCAGAATAGTGCAAGGAACTTAGTAAGTACTCAGTGCAGGTTTGTGGAATGAACAAAATTCAAAACCACAACTAACTTAGAGCTGAATGCTACTATTTTCTGACTTGATGGCTTAAGTAGCTGTGGTCCTGGGGAGCCACTTAACATCTCTGACCTTCAATTTCCTTGTTGTTAAAAATGGAGAAATGGCCACCATCACAAAGAATTCCGCCATAGGTAAAAAGAGCATTTTCTAAGTTGTAAAGTGCATTCAAATTTGAGTTTGTTGGGTAGATGTTTATAAAGTCGAATGAAGCTGAGATGGTGAAAAAACAGCCCTGCTAGACAATCAACCTTGTTTCCAGCACAGTATAAACAATACTCAGAACAAGACATTGACAAGGCCAGTCTTGGAGCACAAAAATTACAAAACACTCCCTTCTTCTAACAAGCATTATTCCTTTCTGAACAGTTGCTGCTGCTTTGTCAATACCAACTCAAGCCTCCATTTTAACCCTCCGAGATAACAATGAGTGAGCTACTCAGTCACCAAATGCCCCTGCTTCTTGACAACATCCATCCCAGAACTGGCCCCCATTACTTAATCTCCCACACAACGTTCCAACACAAGCCAAAACCCTTTAAGAAGCCCCTGTCAGCAGGGCTCAGCAGTTCACACCTATATCCCAGCTCTTTGGGAGGCAGAGGTAGGAGGATCACTTGAGTCCAGGAGTTCAAGACCAGCCTAGGCAATATGGTGAGACCATGTCTCTACAAAAAATTTAAAAATTAGCGAAGTGTGGTGGTGCATACCTGTAGTCTTAGCTACTTGGGAGGCTGAGTTGGGAGGACTGCTAGAGCCCAGGAGTTCGAGATTACAGTGACCTGTGGTCGCACCACTGCACTCCAACCCGGGCAACAGAGGAAGACCCTATCTCTTAAAAAAAAAAAAAAAAAAAAAAGCCCCTATCATCTCCTGCTACCGACATGTGCTTGAGTACACAGTCTCCCTTGCTGCAGCAAGTCTAATAAAACCTACTTTTGGTAGTTTTGTTTTGTTTATTTGACTACAAGTGTGGTCTTTAGTCAGCTCTGATAGAAGCTCCTCATATTCAGTTCTATATTTTACAGACAGACAGATCCAAAGACCCATCAAGGTCCTCCGATTAGCAGTAGAAATGAGATCAAGCATACGTTTTGTTTGTTTTCACACAGCCTCGGGTTTGGCCTATTTGGTTACTGAATATGCTAGTGTATCAAATTTGTCTGGCACAGAATCTTCTACTTTTCATCTTGACTAGGACCTTCCAGTAGCTTTTGGGCCAGGAGAAAACCTGCCATATTTTTTCAGATAATGCTTAGTTCTGGGACGAAGCCAGACACATTCTGATGAGAGTTAATCGTTCTTTATCAGTATGAGAGGAAGCAGGTGTGGGTTCCCCACTGACATCTGATTTATTTCTTTGAGCTCTTGGAACAGACACTTCATCAGCCACCCAAGCAGGAAACTGCCTTTCTGCAGAAGGTAAACAAGAGGGTTTTCTTTATTCTTAGCCATAAAATTGGACCTAAAAAGCATTTCAAATCACTTGGAGTTTTTTTTCTTCTGATTATCTGAATTACATTCCTCAATTGTGGGAAATACAGAAAAGAAGAAAATATTCACCCATAGACCCAACACTCCAGACTAATACGTTGTCCCATTTGGCCTGTTTCCTTCCAGCCTTTTTTTTTTTTTTTTTTTTTTTCCCAATTTTGAATGTGTATGTAGGTAGGAAAGTCTGGAAGTAGAAGGAGAGCAGCTTTTAATAGAGGTCATACTGTATATACGATTTTCATTTTCAATTGCGTTTTAAAATTACATAACACATGAATACGTGCTCACCATAAAGATCCCAAACAATGCCATACGCAGAGCAGAAAGTTCTAGTGCTCTTCAGCACTGCACCTTCTTCCCATTTTCCAGTGATAACTTCTGTTAAATTTGGAAGAACTGGAATAAATAGACACAGTACTTTAGGGTTACTTAGTACTCATAAGTATTCAGTAAGTAAGTGCTTAGCACTGGGTAAGGGCAGGTGTGGCAGTTGGTAAATTGATTCTTCCCATCCCAGCAGTGGCAAACAGACCCTTACCTGACCTCAGTGATCTCCTACCTCCTAGGCGTGCTTTCATATAATTCCTTCCTTGTGAGTGCAGGTGGGACCTGTGACTTGCTTCTAACCAATACAGGTATTGATCGACTTACGACCTATGCAACTTACGACCATTCGACTTTACGACCACAATCGCTAGCCACGACTGCCCTGTGTCTGGCAGCGCAAACGTTGCCCAGCTGGGCGTACGACAGTGCGGACCAGCTTCCAGCAGCACTACCATCTCCGCGTGCATATAGCCTACTCAACTTACGACCAAATCGTGTTACGACCGGTCTGTCGGAACCAATCATGGTTGTAAGTCGAGCACTAGCTGTAGAATATGGCAAATGTGAGGGAATGTCACTCCTAAGATTGGGTTACGTTCTATGAAAAAGTGATAGGCTGTCAGGCTTATGGTTATATTATTTTATAGAGAATTCCATCTTAGCTGGTGGGATCCTCCTGTTGGCTTGATGAAGCGAGCAACCCTGAGGGGAGCCCATGTGGCAAGAGACTACACGCAGCGTCTAGGGCCTTAGGCAGCCTCCAGCTGACAGCCAGCAAAAAGCCAGGCCCTCAGTAAAACAAGTGCAAGGAAAGGAATTCTGTCAGCCACCTGAATGAACTTGGAAGCACATGCTTCCCCAGCAGAGACTCCGGACCAGACCACAGGCTTGGCTGACATCTTGGTTGTGGCCTTGTGAAACCAAGAACAAAGGACTTTACTGAACTATGCCCAGATGCCTCACCCACAGCAATAGTGAGATAATAAGTGTGTGTTGTTTTAAGCAAAGATGCCACAATTGTGGTAATTTGTTTTGCAGGGGGAGGAACTACTCTAGCTTTTCTGTGCATTTCCATCCTGGAGTGCTCAGGACTTCTCAGGTTTTAAGCAGGAAATACACAATTGACACTGGCAGGGAAATCCAGTTCCACCTAATTTCAGGTGTGTTCACATTCAGTGGCTCAAACACTGTAAGCTTTCTCCTCTTAGCTCTTTGTTGTGTCAGCTTAACTCACAGGCAGCTAGTCCTCAAAGATGACCACATCATTTAATTCACATCCAGTCAGCTTGGCAGCCTCACGGAAAAAGAATGCTGCCTTTTCCCAGTACATCCAGCAAAAAGCCCCGGGCTTGGTGTATGTTGGCTCTGGTTGGACTAACTAAGACATGTGCCCACTAGTCCCTGGGAACAGGTGGATGTGGTTCATATGCCTCATCCAGACCTCATGAGCCGAAAGGAGGAGAGCTGAGCACTAAAAGGAAATAAGGTTGGTCCCAGGTGGAGAAGATGGAACAGAAGCTGAATTAAAACAGCAACCATCCAGACCATGGATATGTATATTCATATTGCAGACAATGGAATATGGAATTGCATATTCATTTGGATCCATATCCATGTATCTATTGTTGACATAACAATGTAACAGTATTACAGTAAATACCTCCCATAAACTTTGCAACATGTTTATGAAAATAAACATGATGGCCAGGTGGGGCGACTCAGGCCTACAATCCCAGCACTTTGGGAGACCAAGGCAGGTGGATCACTTGAGCTCAGGGGTTCAAGACCAGTCTGGGCAACATGACGAAACGCTGTCTCTAGAAAAAAAAGTGGTGGCACTCACCTGCAGTACCAGCTACTCAGGAGGCTCAGGTGGGAGGATTGTTTGAGCCTGGGGGGCAGAAGTTGCCATGAGCTGGAATTGTGCCACTGCACTCCATCTTGGGTGGAGCAAAATTCTTTTCAAAAGAAAAAAAAAATGGCAGACAAGTTGAAAAGATAACACAATGAATATCCATACGCCCCTCACTTAGACGTCACTGTTAACATTTTGCCCCAGCTGTTCTTTTTTTTTTTTTCTGACTAACTTAAGTTGAATTATAGACACCGTGACACTTTATCCCAGGATATTCCAGCTTGGACCTAAGAATAAAAGTAGCCTCCTATATAACAATAAAATCACTAACACATCCAGTAAATCTAACATTGTGCAATGATATTATATATGGTCCATAGCTAAATTTTTCTAACAATTCAAAAAATGTTTTTGTAAGCTATTTTTAATTTCTGTTCTGATCCAGGATCCAACCCACAATTGAATTGGATTATCATTCTCTTCAGTCTCCTTTATCTAGAACAGCTTTATTCCCTTTTTTGGTACTTCATATGTTGATATTTTGAAGACTATGAGCCAGTCATAACATAAGAATTTATTTCTTTGTGATTATATTCAAGTTCAACACTTTGGAAAGAATACTATATAGGTGATGTTGAATCACTACATCACTTCAAGAAGCAGACAATGTCAGTAATGCTAACTTTGATCACTTGGTTAAAATGGTTTCTTCTAGTTCTCTCCATTATAAAAGTGTATTCTTTGTCAACAAATGTGTGAAACCTTGAGACCTTGCAAATTTCCTATTCCCTAACAAACTTTCAGCAACTTGAGAATGCATTGGTGATCCTTGTCTAAATTATATTTAGATGCAAAATGGTGATTTTCTAATTCTATCATCAGTTCTTCTATTGTTGGCTGTTTTCTGTCTCTCTACCCCCCCTTTTAAAAAATACTATCAATCTCTACTTATAGATTGTTTTTTAAAAATTAAATATGTTAAAATCATTATCCTCATTATATATATATATATATATATATATATATATATATGTAATTTTTTTTGGCATGGGGGGCAGGGTCTTCTTGCTCTGTTGCCCAGGCTGGAGTGCAGTGGTGTGATAATGGCTCACTGCAGCCTCAACCTCCTGGGCCCAAGCAATCCTCCCACCCCAACTGAGCTGGGACCACAGGTGCACTGCACCCTACACCCAACTAATATTTCTGTAGAGATGGGGTCTCCCTATGTTGCCCAGGCTGGTCTTGAGCTCCTGGGCTCAAATAATCCTTCCACTCCAGCCTCCCAAAGTATTGGGGTTATAGATGTAAGCCACCATGCCGGCCACTGTTGATATTTCAATTGTCCCAGATTTGGCCCATGGGAGTCCCTTCAACCTGTGGCCTGACCTCTTCCCATTAATTTCAAGCACTTCTTTGCTTTCTTCACTTTGCTTCTTTGCATGCCAAGATGTTCCAGTCTAATCTAGTTCTTCCCTGCCCTGGACCTGGAATCAGCCATTTCTGCAGAAAGCTGCGGTTCCTTTTAGCAGAGAATGGTATTTAGAATCCAAGGGCCTCACTTTAGGATCTTCCATACAATTTTTAAGGCTGCTAACCACCATTTTACTTATTTATTATTAGTATTATTTTGAGACAGAGTCTCCTTCTATCACCCAGGCTGGAATACAATGCTGCGATCTTGGCTCACTGTAACCTCCACCTCCTGGGTTCAAATGATTCTCCTGCCTCAGCCTCCCAAGTAGCTGGGACTAAGGGCACGTACCACCACACTCAGCTAATTTTTGTATTTTTAATAGAGACAGGGTTTCACCATGTTGGCCAGGCTGGTCTCGAACTTCTGACCTCAAGTGATCCGCTCACCTCAGCCTCCCAAAGTGCTGGGATTACAGGTATGAGCCACTGTACCCAGTCAAGAATGGCATTTAGAATCCAAGGACCTCACTTTAGGTCCCTCCCACAACAGGTGGGAATTGTGGGAGTTACATTTCAAGCCTGGCTGGCTACTCTTAATTTGCTTTTATAACATTAAACAGTGGTTTTGACTCTCTTCCTTTCCATGTGCTGATCAGTAAGCAATCATTGATAGAGAATATTGGACACAGCAGAGGACTAGCTCACCAATGTGAGAGCACGCAATGCCACCATTTTTGGATGAATGATTGATGAGTATCAAGTTGCCCAGTAATGGGCCAGCTAATTTGACCAAGCGTCCGTGGAAAGTCTTTGAATACATGCAATCCCATTGTAGGTTTAATACTACAATAGTTTCAAAGTAGCAAATAAATGTAAACAATCATTAAAGATATTCGCAATAGCTGAAATATGACATAAAAATATCTGTGACTTCCATTGATAACAAATTCACAGGCATCAAATTGTGGTTTGTTGTCTACATTCACAATTACATAAAATGCTAAATTTTATTTTATTTTTATTTTTTAAGGAGGAGTCTCATTCTTTCACCTAGGCTGGAGTGAAGTGGTGCAATCTCGGCTCACTGCAACTCCGTGCCCCCGTGGTTCAAGCGCTTCACTTGCCTCAGCCTCCAGAGTAGCTGGGATTGCAGGTTCCCGCCACCACACCTGGCTAATTTTTGCATTTCTGGTAGAGACAGGGTTTCACCATGTTGGCCATAGTGGCCTCGAACTCCTGATCTCAGATGATCCACCCACCTTGGCCTCCCAAAGTGCTAGGATTACAGGCGTGAGCCACCAGGCCTGGCCAATGCTAAGATGCAACAGCAAACCCTAGGTTGAAAATCCCTGCATTAGATGGAAGACGCCTAGGTCCCTCGGCGCCCCCCACCACCGCCCCTCGCTCGAAAGACAGTTTCGTAGTTGGCCACCTGGTGATCACACAATGAAATTTTATTCTACTAAGCCATTGGAAGTTGTTTGTTATAGTAGCTAGGATTACTTATATTAACCAACACAGAAATCAAGCTTTAGATTTAAGAAGTCCAATACATAAAAAGAAATCCACACATAGACAAATCATAATGAAATTGCACAAAAACAGAATTAGTTCTGATTTGTTTGTTTGTTTTAGTGAGAGGGTCTTTCTCTGTCACCCAGGCTAGAGTGTAGTGCTACAATCATAGCTCACTGCAGCCTCATACTCCTGGGCTCAAGCAATCCTCCCACACCAGCCTCCCAAGTAGCTAGGACTATGGGCGTGTGCTACCATGCTGGCTAATTTTTTTTAATTTTATTTTTGTGGATATGGAGTCTTGCTTTGCTGCCCAGGCTGCTATTAAACTTCTGACCTCAAGCGATTCTTCCCCCTTGGCCTCCCAAAGCTCTGAGATTACAGGTGTGAGCCACCACACCTGGAAGAGAAAATCTTTAAAGCAGCCAAGGAGAAAAACAAGATTGCTTTCAATGAGACTAACAGCTGACTTCTCATGAGCAATAATGGAAGCCAAAGGACAGGGCATGATTACCTTCGATGTCTGAGCAAACATAAACTGTCAGCTTAGAATTCTATATTCAGCAGAAGTTCTTTTAAGAATAAGAATGAAATAAAGACATTTTCAGACCAAAAAAAAAAAAAAAAAAATGGGCTGTTTGAAGTTAGTTACACCAGATTCTGGGAGAATAAGAAGGATGATTCCCATGACCCAGGTTGCTCTGGGCTGTCTACTTTTGCCCCAGCCTGAGCAGTAGCGAATGTGAAATGTGAACCATACTGTGCCCCATCACTATTCTTGGCTGAGAATAAGTTACATAAACAGTGATATAGTTAGCTACTGCTATGTAACAAAATCCCTCCAAACTCAGCGATGTAAAACAACGGTATTGCTCATGAGTCAATAGGACAGTCTATTCATCTGGACTAGGCTCGGCTGATCTTAGCTGAGCTTACTCATGGTCTACAGTTAGCTAGCAGGTCTGCTGGACACTGACTGGTCTAAGTGGCCTTACTCATATATCTGAGTAGGCTGGCCATTGGCTGGAGTGATGGGGGCAACTGGGCTATGTGTCTTCCGCCATCCAGCAGGCTAGCTTGAGCTTATTCACATGGGTGTGGCAGGGCTCCAAGGGAGTGAGGAAAATTGCAAGACCAGGCTTGGAACGGGCACATTGTCACTTCCATTTTATTCTGTCGGTCAAAGAATAAGGCCAGCCCAGCTTCAAGAGGTCAGGAAACAGACTCTACCTCTGAGTGGAAGAAGCCAAAAAGTCATCTTACAAAAAGGCGGGGAGGGGAATCATGAATCAGTGGGGCCATTTTCCCCCCACATTTATCAAAGTGACTTTGAAATAAAGGCCACAAGCTAGTGTGTTGTGGCTCTAGAGGAAGAAATCTTGGGGAAATTATAAAAAGTCCCAGGTGCCACACCCTATAAATATATCATTTCATCTTTGTAACCACCCAAACAGTTAGGTGCCATTGGTGGGGAGAGCAGGTAACCTGACTGAGGTCTCCTTGATAAAGCAAGGTCAATGATAAAGCCAGGACTTGAACCGGGTAGTCTAACATCAGGGCCAATCTCTCACCCACCTACTCTGTTGCCTTCCTGACAATGACACTGAGAGTGTGAATCTGGGTGTGTGGCTGTTTGTACGTCACAATCTTTCTAGGCTTCAGATACTTCAGTGTTTTGTTTTCTTAACAAACACATGTGAGACTAAGATGTACTAATTCTTGTTAGTGCTTTGGTTGGGCCTGCAGCTCTGCCAATTATCACTGGGTCTCTGAGTTTTCCTCATCGGTAAAGCGGGGACACATCTCCCACAGTGGTTGCAAGGATCTGATGAAATGATGTATTTGACAATGCCTCGTTCTTCCCAGCGTACAGCAGGCACTGGTGTCTGTTTCCTTCTCTGGTATCTTCTTCTATTCACTGGGAAAATCCCAGGGGCTGGAGCAGCTTTGTCAG